CATTTGACCCAGCAATTCCACTACTGGGAATTTACCCTAAAGAAACCATAACTGCCCCCCCCAAGCAGATATATGCACACCCATGTTTATTGCAGCTTTGTTCACAATAGCAAAGACCTGGAAACAACCCAAGTGTCCATTAACAAACGAATGGATAGAGAAGCTGTGGTATATTCACACAATGGAATACTATGCAGCATTGAAAAACAAGGAACTCATGAAATATTATGCAAAATGGATGACCCTGGACGACATGATGCTGAGTGAAATATCTCAGTCACAAAAGGACAAATATTGCATAGGGCCACTGCTGTAAAATGGGACTGACATTGGGGTTGAGGGAAGAGAAAGAAGGAGGGGAGGAATGATGTATACTGCATTGAAACAGATGAGGGAGAAAACTGTTTAAAAGGGATATGTGATTAGGTATTGTCATGACAGGAGTCCAGGATGAAGGCTGCATGGTGGAGTAGACTTGGGGGGAGGGATTGCATAACAATGAAAGATTTTTTTCTTTTACTTCTCAAAGAAAAGAGTGGAGTGGGGGGGGGCAGCAGGGAGCAGGGAGAAAAATGCAACAATGAATGACTGGAAACCCTAAGTCTCTATAAACTTTCATTAAAATTAATTAAAAAAATTCTATAGTAAAGGGGGGAAGGATGAATAAGGATGACTGAAGGAGGACCAATGCCTTGGAACTGTGGTGCTGATGAAGAGTACTGAATGTCCCATGGACTCCCAAAAGGATAAACACATATGTCTTGTAGAAAGTGCAACCAGCGTGCTGCTTAGCTGTGAAGATGGTAAAACTTTGCTTCACATGCTTTGGACATCTTGTCAGAAAAGGCCAATCCTTGGGAAAAGATATTATGCTGGGAGAAGTGAATGGTCAGCAAAAGAAGGGAAGACCCTTAACAAGCAGGATTGGCACAGTGACTGTAACAGTGGGTTCAGGCTTTTCAGAGATGAAGATGACACAGGACAGGGCGGGGTTCAGATCTGTTCCTCACAGGGTCTCTATTAGTGGCAGTTGACTCGATGGCACTTAACAGCAACTAACTACACCATACAGAGAGAGCTTAGATGGATGAGTGGGTAAGGAATTGTGCTGACAACCCAAAGGCTGACAGTTTGAATCCAATATCTGCTCCTTGAGAGAAAGATGGGCAGTCTCCTTCTATGTGTTTTGTTGTTGTTGTTAGGTGCCATCAAATCAACTACAACTCATAACAACTGTGCAGGCAATGGATCTGAACACTGCCCCATCCTGTGCCATCTTCACCATCTCTGACATTCCCAAGCCCACCATTATAGTCACCATGTCAATCCATCTCATTGAGGGTCTTCAGCCTCTGAAAACCTGCTAGAGAGTCAGCTATGAGCCAGTTCTGACTTAATTACATATAACAGCAACAACAACAATATCCCACACATACAGAGTTATTTACAATCCATTTTAGGTATTTTGTTGTATCTTTTAGCAGTCATTCCTCATTGCCTTCAATAGCCTACAACCCCTAAAAACAGAACAATAAAAAAGCCAAAGCGTTAGGGTTTTCAAGGTTGTGGCCTCGTAGAAGCAGTTCACCAGGTCTTTTTTCCTTTCCTTTAGAAGCAGTGTGCCAGTTCACGAAGGAGGCTCTTGGCGGGTTTGAAGGGCCCGCTCTTCGGTCAGTAGTCACGTGCTTCATTCTTCGTGTCAGCCGATTCTAGACATTTCATAGAAATAGATCCATGCAATGCTTGACCTTTTGTAGCTGGCTCCTTTCACTTAGCATAATGTTTTCAGGGTCATCCATGCTGTAGTGTGTATTGGCATTTCATTCAGCCCACTGCCAGACACTCTACCACTGACTGAATGTGCTGTTGTTGTTGTTAGGTGCCATTGACTCAGTGACAACTCACAGTGACCCTGTGAACAACAGAGCTCAGCCTTGCCGTACCCTGCACCATCGCATGATCTCTGACATGCTCAAGCCCACTGTTACAGTCACAGCGCCAATCCAGACCATTTCCCTCTCTTTCTCTGAACCTCCACTTTTCCCAGTATGATGTACCACACATTTATTCATCCAACAGTTGACAGATGTTTGAGTTGTCTCCACATTTGAGCTACTGTAAACAATGCTGCTATGAGCGTTGTGCACACATTATTGTATGGACCTTTGTTTTCATTTCTCCACATAGAAGTAGAGCTGCCAAATCATGCAGTAACTATGTTCTAGCATTTTGAGGAACTGCCAGACTGTTTGCTGTTCTGACTGCACATTTTACATTCCTACCAGCAATGTATGAAGGTTCCAATTTCCCCACACCCTCACCAGCACTTAATTCTTTTTCCCTTTAATTCTTTTTCAAAAGGCCTTTTAAAATTTTTTTTAAAAAATTTTTTGTGTGTGTACCATCAAATTAGATCTGACTGGTACAGGAGAAGATTTTCTCTCCTTATCCAGCAGACCATCTGGTGGATTCGAACTGCACACCTCTGGGATTGCAGTGCAGCTTCTGGCCACTAGGCCACCAGAGCTCCCATATTTGCCTTTTAATTCTGTTCATCCTCATGGATGATATCTTATTATAGGTTTACATGTAAGTTTAAAGACTGAGATGTGCCTGATCCAAGCCATGGTCTCAGTTGCTTGCTATGCATCTGAGAGCTGGACAATGACTAAGGGTAACAGAAGAGTCTACACTTTAAGTTGTGCTGCTGGAGAAGGGAACATACCATGGACTACAAAGAGAACAAAGAGGTTCATCCTGGAGAGGGTGAAACCAGGCTGCTCCTTGGAGGCAAGGATTTTGAAACTTTATCTCACATACTTTGGGCATGTTGTCAGGTGGGACCAGTCCTTGGAGAGGGACATCATGCTTGGCAGTGTGGATGGTTAAGCAAGAGAGGAAGACCCTCAATGAGATGGACTGACACAGTAACTGTGGCCGTGGTGCCAGATGTATCAGAGATGGTGAAGTGGGCTCAGGGTAGGGCAAGTTTCAAAGCCATTGTTCCTAGGGTCACTGTAAGTCATGGTTGACGTGATGCCAGCAGCAGCAGCAGTAGGTAACGAGGGAGCTCTGGTGTAGTCTGTAAAGAGCTGTGCTCTGACCCAGAGGCTGTGCCTCTCCGGTGGTTTGAATCCACCAATGGCTCTCCAGGAGAAAAATGGCCAATCTCCTCCTGTGTGATTTTACAACCTCAGAATCCACTGGAATGTCAACTGTGAGTGAGAAAGAAAAAGAGAAGCTAATGATGCTGAGTATAAAAGATTATTGACTATACTTTTTTTTCTGGAAAAAGATGTAGTCCTCACTTTCACCTATTCTTTAACTGGATTATTTACAATTCTTATTGTTGAATTTTAGGAGTTCTTTATATATACTAGATTTGAACCCTGGTATCAGATATATGATTTGCAAATATTTCTCTCATCCATTTTCTTTTATCATTTTCTCAATGGTACCTTCTTAAAGGTAAATGCTTCTTAATTTTTATGAACTCCAATTATTCCCATCTCCAGTCATTTTTAGCAATATATCTAAGGAGGTCTTGCCTAAGCCCAGACCACAGATACTTATTCTGTATTTTTTTTCTTAGTTTCATAGGTGGAGCTTTGACCAAGGGCCAAGCTTCTTAAGCAGAAGATGAGGGTGAGCCCTCAGTATGTAAGGGAGACTGTGGTCCACGAGAGGTGGCAGCCTGCACCCACACACTCCACTTGGTTTCTAGGAGCCGGCCTTTCTGCTCCCTGGACCTGGGTTCCCTTCGAGCTTCCCTTCCCGTAACTGAGTCCACTTCTCCCGGCTGCAGGGAAGGCTTATGAGATCACGTACGTGAGGCTGAAGTTCCACACCAGTCGCCCCGAGAGCTTCGCCATCTACAAGCGCAGCCACGCCGGCGGCCGCTGGGAGCCCTACCAGTACTACAGCGCCTCCTGCAGGAAGACCTACGGCCGGCCCGAGGGCCTGTACCTGCGCCCCGGAGAGGACGAGCGCGTGGCCTTCTGCACCTCTGAGTTCAGCGACATCTCGCCGCTGAGCGGAGGCAACGTGGCCTTCTCCACCCTGGAGGGCCGGCCCAGCGCCTACAACTTTGAGGAGAGCCCTGTGCTGCAGGTCAGAGAGGAGGGGGGCAGGGGCTGGGTAGGGAACCTCAGGAAAGTCTACAGTGTCAGGCCTGATCTTTGAGTCCCTGTGGTTGGGGTTTTTTTTGTTGTTTTTTGGGTTTTTTTATCCATGCGCATTTTCTTCCCTCTCCCCATCCCTCCCCACAATGCAATTCTTGTTCCAGATTATTGTCATACATATAATACCTAATCATATATTCCTTTGGACAGTTCCTCCCCTCATCTGATCTAATGCAGTATTCATTATTCTCTCCCCAACCCCTTGTGTCTGCTCTATTAACAGTGGTGTTATACAGTATTTGTCCTTTTGTGACAGAGGTATTTCACTCAGCATACTATCCTCCAGGCGCCTCCATGTTGTATAATGTTTTACAAGTTCATTGTTTTTCAGTGCTGCATAATATTCCATTGTGTGGCTGTACCATAGTTTTTCTAGCCATTTATTTGTTGATGGGCACTTGGGTTGCTTCCATCTTTTTGCTATTGTAAGTAATGTGGCAATAAACATGGGTGTGAATACTTCTGCTAGATTTGTGGCTCTGATATCTTTAGGGTATATTCCCAGTAGTGGAACTGCTGGATTAAATGAGATTTCTATTTGCAACTTTTTGAGAAAGCACCAGACCACCTTCCATAATGTTGCACCATTTTACATTCCCACCAGCAGTGAATGAGAGTTCCAGTCTCTCCACATTTCACCAGCATTTGTTGTTTGTTGACCTGTTGAACTTTGCTCTTGTTAGTGGGGTGAGATGAAATTTCATAGTTGTTTTGATTTACATCTCTCTCAGAGCTAGGGATTTTGAACATTTCTTCATATGTTTGCCATCTGACTGTCTTCTTTGATGAAGTGTCTGTTCATATCCTGTACCCATTTTGTGATTGGGTTGTTTGCCTTTTTCTTGTTGAGGGCTCTGGTGGTTTTTAATAAGTAATAGTTTTGATAAGGGATAATAATAATGAGATTACAATTAGAGAGTTCTAGTGGTCTAGTAGTAAGGAGCTGTACTGCAATCCCAAAGGTATGCAGTTTAAATCCACCAGTTTCTGTACAGGAAAAAGAGGAGCAATCTCCTGTGCAATTAACCTGCCTCTGAAAACTCCCTGGAGGGTCAGCTATGAGTCATTTCCTACTCACTGGTCTACAACAACAATAATGACATTATTAAAAGGGATAAAAATAATGAAATTATTATATGGGAGCTCTGGTGGACTACTGGTTTGGTTCTGACTCAACAGCACACAGCTACGATAATGAAATGGGGTGTTCTGGTGGCATGGACTCTACAGAGTTGCCCCACTAACCCAGGCTGTGGCAGTTTAAATCCACTATGACTCTGTGGGACAAAGATGGTCAGTCTCCTCCCATGTAATTCCCAGCCTTCGAGAACCTGCTTGTGGGTCAGCCATGAGGTGATTCTGACTCAACAGCGCTAAGTTTAAGTTAATGTAATAGACCAAAATTAATTAAGTTAATGAAATAGACCAAAATACCCCTGCCCTTGCCTCTTGTAGCAGAGCCTGGTAGCTCCCAGAAGCTCTGTGGCAACCTTCCATAAATGGATAGTTGAAAACTGAAGCCTGGAGAGGGAAAGGATTTGCCAGGGGGATGTGTGAGTTGATGGACGAATCCAGATCAGAACCTGTGTCTCCAGGCTCCCAGGCCTCTTTGTGAGCATCATGTCCTTAGCCTCCTTTCCTCTCTCAAAGCTAAAAGCATCTGCCCTGTGTGTCTCCAAAGACTCTTATAAGCTAGAAAGCAGGGAAAAAGCATGAACTTTGGAGATATATAGTGTTGAGTTGGAGGCAGTAAAGTAATTCTGTCCAGTAGGATTTCTATGATGTTGGAGTGGGCTGACTGCATTGTCCAGTATCATAGCCACCAGGCACCTATCAACAATTCAGCTCAACTCATTGCCGTTGAATCGGAACCAACTCATAGCTGATGCTCCAGTGGGTTTTCAGAGGCTGTAAATCGCACAAAAGAGATTGCCTATATTTCTCCCACGGAGCTGCTTGTGGATTCGGACTGCCAGAGAGGGGTGGTGTTTGGGTTAGCATCACACCACCTGCTATGCCACCATGGCGATAGAGCACTTGAAATGTCACTTAGTGTGACCAGCTTTATTAGTTACTCAGAGCTCCCACAACAAAGCACTGCCAACTGGACAGCTTAAAATGACAGAAGTTTATTGTCACATCTTTCTAGAGGTCAGAGCCTTCCCTGGATTATAAATGAAATCCCCTCCTAAGCATATCTTCAAATTGAATTTGTCGGTAGGGCAGTACAAGTGCAAACAGTTCTGAGTCAAGCTTACATTAGTACAAGAAAAGGGAGTCCTGGTGGTGTAATGATTTAAGTGTTAGGCTGCTAACTGAAGGATGGGTGGTTTACGTGTCCAGGTGTTAACTGAAAGGTCGGTGGTTCGAATCACAGCAGCCACCTCATGGGAGAGTGAGGAGCTCCTGATTAGATTTACAGCCTCAGAAACCCGAGGGAGGGTCACCACATGTTGGAATCGACTGAGGCAGTGCATCGAGTCAGTGCAAGAACAGTCTGGAAGTCTTTTCAGTGATTTAAAAGCTGCACTTGAAACAAGTGAATGTGACAATGACCAAGAATTTGTGGCGAGTAGAGACTGGTTCGGTTGTTTGAAAATGAGAGAAACTTTGCATAATGTTAAGGGGCAGGAATAGCCAGGGGTTTACGATAGTCTAAGTTTAGGGTGTTGGCAGGGCAGGGTTTCCTCCCAAGGCTCTAAGGGTTGGATGCTGTCTTGTCTTTCCGGGCCTCTGGTTGTTGCTATGTAACATTAAGTCAGAACCGACTCACAGCTGACCCTCCAGTAGGTTTTCAGTGAGTGGCATGGGGGAAGGTGGCCCATCTTCTCCAGCGGAGCAGGTGGTGGATTTGAACTGCATGTGTTTGGGTTTGCAGGACAGCTTCTTACCAGGAAACCACCAGAGCTCCCTGGTTTCTGGTAGCCTCGGCAATTCTTGACTAGCAGCTGCTGCATTCACTGTCTTCCTCCTGGCATGTTGTTCTTCTTTATCTCTGTCTTTTCACCTCTCTTATACAGATGCCATTCAGACTGAGTTAGGACCTGCTCCAATATGGTACCAAGTTAATCGAGAACGTCACATTTACAGGTACCAGGGGTCAAGCCTTCAGCATATCTTCCTCTTCAGAGAGGAAGCACAGTTTAATCCAAAACAAAAAAACCTGATTTTAAAATTTTATTTCATTTTAAGTAGCTGCATGTGTTTAGCACTGTCTGGTTGGAAAGGGGAGCTAAGGGACAGTGGTGTCTCCACACAGCGACCAGCACAGGGCTTGTCGTACAGAAGTGCTTGTAGCTGCTTTGATAATGTGAAAGCCCTGCACTTACCAGTGGAGATAACAGTGACCTGTCCACTTGTGTCCATCAATACAGGCCTTCCTGGTTCAGTCCATGAGAGTCAACTCAGATTTGTAGTCCTACCAATGACTGTACCCATGGCTGCCTGCATTCAGGCATATTGGCCTGAATGTCATTGCTAGTGTTTTTAGGAAGACAAGGGGGTGGAAGGCCCCTACTAGTTTTTCTGGATCCTTACAGGTCTCTGCCCAAGACAGACAAATTGCCACTTCCTTCCCTCGAGACCTCCCCAGGATTTCTGTGCTCTTGGGGATTCAGTTGTGTCTCCTGCAAAAGATATGTGGAGGACCTAAACGCTGTACTCATAAACATGACGTGATTTGGGAATGGAATCTTTGAAGGTGTCCAGTTAGGTTAGAGTGTGATCATATTAGAGTGGGGTTAGTTCTACTGGGGATGGATTACCCAAGAAGTAAGGTAAACACAGACTCAACAGAACCTCAACGAGATAGATTGACACAGTGACAGTAACAGTGGGCTCAAGTATGTCGGAGATGGTGAGGCTGACGCAACGACAGGGCAGGGTTCACATTTGTTGTTCGTAAGGTCGCTCTGAGTTACAGTCAACTCGACAGCACTTAACAACAACATCAGCTTCCTAATTAGTAGTGAACAGTTTTACACGCTCTCTACCACGTTACTTACCTAGCTGACTGTTCCCTCTGTCAAATTGTAAATTTGAAAAGAGACTTTGATTCTGCAGCAAGGCGCTGTGGAGTGGGGAACAAGACAGATGCCAGCCATACTGAGAAATAGCCTCTCTGCTGTGGCGGGGGACATGTGAAACTGTTTGCTACAATTAGTGTTCACCTTGCTTGTTGGGCATTCTGACACTGGTCTTAATTCAATCCGAGTGGTGTCTTTATAAAAGAGAAGAGATACAGAGAGAGAAGAAAGGAGCGATGTGATGGTACAGCTGTAAGCTCAGTTGTGCCCAGAGCCAGCAGAAGCTGGGGAGAGGCAGGTAGCAGCTGCTGCCTCGAAGCCTTGAGAAGAATCAACACAGCTAATACCTTGATCTTGGACTTGCTGCTTCCAGAGCGCTAAGACAATAAATTTCCATTCTTATAAACTACTCAGCTTGTGGCATTTTGTTTTGGCAGCTCTAGGAAACGAATATAGTTTCCTATCTGGAATAAGCAGGGGGCTGGGTTAGAGCCCTGTCTGGCTCCAGGGGACACTGAGGCCCAGGAGGCAGTTGTGCTCTGCATAGAACAAGACCCGGCATTGTCTCTTGAGATGCTCAGGCTCTGCTTGGCCTCGTGGATATTTACTTGTCGTCATCAGGATTTTGCTTAAAATCTCCCGTCTCTTCTCCATGCTGCTCCAAGCTCTTCAGTGGAGAAGAAATTGGCCGAGGTCAGGTGGAGACAAGCAGAAAGGGCCAGGCTATCGCTCGACCTGTGTCTGTACTGCTGTCACCCGAGGAGAGGCTTAACCTGGGCCCCCTGGCAGGGGGTGGATTCTGACAGAGGCTCTTATTGCCAATACATCCTGGACATTGTCCCTGACTAGAAATGACCTTTTCAAAAGTGTCCCCCCTGCTGTTTCCAGACAGAATCCGTGGGCAGAGAAGGGCAGAGATGAGGCAGGTCCCACCTGGCACAGCTCTCATCCTCCCCTCCCAGCGCGCCGGATGGAGCTTCCTCCAGAGTAGGACAGGAGCATGTTTGGATGGGAGGCTGGGAGGTAATGTGTGTGTGCATAAGGCCTGGGGGGGGGGGTGGGTCTCACGTCCCTCTGTCCCTCACAGAAGATACAAAGATCTTAGAGAGAAGGTCAGTCATGTCCACTGCCCCAGTGGAGGTCAGCCTCAGTTTCTCTCAGCTCCTTGTGGTGCTGGGTGGATCCCCTGCGTCCATTTAACCCCACTTTCTGGAGCCCGGGTTCTGTCTACAGTCAACCCCAGAGCGAGTCCCCTACAGATTGCAGAAGCTATTTGCCTTTGTCCAGTGGAGCTGTGGTTTGACCTAAAATGACCGTCCCTTTGAGGCATCGGTCAGTGCTCCTCCAATGTGGGTTAAGGAAACAAAGCCATCTTCTCTCTCAGCGCCCCTCCTGGTGTCTTAGAGATTTTTCACTGTGGACCTTCACTGTTAGCCTCTTCGCAGACTATAGAGCAAGTCAGAGTCCAGAAAGCAGATGCAGGAACCCAAAGGAGGGGTGCTTGTCCCACACTGTCCTTTCCCGGGACAGGAGAACTTAGACAGCCCATTGCCCTCTCTGGGCCCCACTGGTGTGATGAGGGTGCTGGGAGTAGTTGATGTAGGGCAATGGTTAAGGCCTGTCTCTGGACAGAATCCCAGGTAAATTGTCCAATTTGGAACAGGATACAGTTAGTCCCCAGGTTATAATAGTCCAGCTTGAAAGATGGCACAGAACCAGGCAGTGCTTCCTTTGTTGCGCACAGGCTCACTGTGAGGGAGCTCTGGTGGCCTAGATGATAAGAAGTTGTGCTGCCAACCACAAGGCACACAGTTTGAAGCCACCGGTTGTTTGTGGGGGAACGATGGACAGTCCCCACCCATGCAATTTGCAGCCTCTGAACACTCGCTATAGGGTCAGCTATGAGTCACAGCACATAATAACAACGAGGTTGCAGCAAATCAGAACCAGTTTGATAGCACAGAGCAACAGACACCACAGGCAGGTAATGCAGGCAGCTTGTACTAGCTTTTCAATGTTACCTTAGTTTGCCCTCATTTTGAAGCAATTGAGCCAACCGCCTACATGAAGCAAATTCTTGGTCGCAAACAAATGCACTTGCTCGAGTGCAGCAATTACTGTGATCTTAAATCACTGAGTAGACTTTGAACATTTTATTGTAGTAAACCCACTGTCAGTGAGTCAGTTGTACCCTTCACTGGGTTTCCAAGGCTACAAATCTCTTAGAGAAAATACTTCTCCTCAGTAGTTGGTAGATTTGAACTGCCCGTCTTTCAGTTAGCAGCCATTATGGATTATGTCACCAGGAGTAATTTTTTATTATACTAAAGTAAGGCTAAGTAAGGGAGCTCAGGCAGCCTAGTGGTAAGAATTGTACTCTCAACCCAAAGGTACACAGTTCAAGTCTGCCATCAGCTCCATAGAAGAAAGATGGGCAATCAACTCCTGTGCAATTTAACGTCATCTGAAAACCCACTAGAGGGTCATGTATGGGTCAGTCCTGACTCGATGGTACACAGCAGCAAGACTAAATAAGAACCATATGCACCTATTCTGACTTCTCTACAAATTCTGTTTTCAAGATATACACAGAAGGCACGAAGGGGTAGGATTAAAGGATTAATGGCAATGGGAATCACAGGGAGGAAGCAGGAAGTACATTGTGGTTATTGAGCTAGATGTCATAAAACGAAGTATGGATGAATGGAAAACCAATTTGTAAACATTTACTCAAATCATATACACATAAGGAGGTGGGGGGGCGCATTGAGGAACAATGACTGGCATTGCAATGGCTCTCCTCTGTAACCTGGGAACCGCTGTACTTACACTTGCTAAGCCTCAGACTCCTTTTCTATAAAAGGTGGATAATAGCGGGGTGGTTATGAGGACCCAACAAGGTGATGAATACAATGTACCGGACTCATAATAATCATGCAGAAAGTGTCAGCTGCCGCCACTCTGTCTTCCAGCTCTGACATCCAGCTGCCTTCAGTTCTCCAGGTGACGTTCTTTCTGGAGGGAATGAAAAAACAGCGGTGTCTTCTGCTGTTATAGTTATTGTTAGGTGCAGCTGAGTGTTCTATGACTCGTAGCGTCCCTCCGATCAACAGATCTGAAACTCGCACCATCCTCATAGCCTCTGCGAGGCTCAAGTCCGTTGTCACAGTCATCTCGTCAGCTCATCTCATTGAGGGTCTTTCTCTCTTTTGCCAACTTTTTGCTTTCCTATTATGATGTCTTTTTCTAAGGCCTGGCCTCTCCTGACAACATGCCCAAAGTATGAGATGAAGCTTCACCATCCTCGCCTCTACGGAGCACTCCAAGACAGACTTGTGTTTTCTTTTGACAGTCCATTCAATGTTCTTCACCAATGCCTTAATTCAAAGGCATCACTTCTTCAGTCTCCCTTATTCATTGCCCAACTCTCACATGCAAGTGAGATTACTCACGATCACGTGGTTTGGGTCAGATACACCTCAGCCTTCAAAGTGATATGCTTTTTCTTTAGCACTTTGGAGGGGTCCTTGACAGCAGATTTACCCAAGGCAACCTGTCTTTTGATTTCTTGACTGTTGCTACCATGGGTGTTGCCGGATTTTCTCATCACAGGCCTTGGATCCAGGGCCACCTGGGCATCTCCTGGGCACCTGTTAGAAAACACAGCCTCTCGGGCCCCACCCTAGATCTCTGATCAGAATTTATATTTTCATGAACTCCCAGTGTGAATGCAATGAACACACGCATGTGTGGAAAGCAGCCTTAGGTAGAGCGCGAACTCAGCTCGGTGTTGAGAGGTCCGCTGAAGTTTTCTGGTCCCACCTAAGCCCCCTCAGGCCCTGGGTCTCAGGCAGCAGGCTCCGGAGTTGCCATGCTCAGGGGGAGTTGGGGAGGCCCTGCCGGCCCCAGTGATTTTGGGGAGAGAAGACAGACCCTGCCAGGAGCGCCTTCTCCGTACTGACATGCCTGATTGCTAAACCAGTGGCTCCTGGGCCGAATTAAAAGGCTGATTAAAATTCAGCTGGAGCTACCTCTGATTCTAACAGCAGGCAGATCAAAATGTCAGCCTTCACGTGGGTTGTCCCCCACTTCCCCAACAAGCTCTTCCGTGGGGAAGCTGTTCCGTCAGCATTCAGCGATCACAAGTGTTTATCAAGTGCCAGGCAGAGAGGCGGGGGGCGGGGATGTGGGGAGAACAAGGACCCCTGAGTCTCTTCTGATTGAGTCCCACATTCTGATGGGAGAGGCGTGACCTGGGGCAGGTGACTTGTCTGTGGGAGCCTGTCAGCGTTAATTACTCAATAAGCAGGTAAGCGTGGCCTGCCTTGTGCTTATGTGCTAGTCTGTAGTGAATCATTTCACATTTTTTTTCTCACAACATCAAAGACTTGGCTTCTAGGTATGGCTGGCATCTGTCTCTCTTCCAGCCCTACAGCACGTTCCTACAGACTCACAGTCTCTTTTCAAACATACAAGGCAGGGAGGAAGTATCCACTAGAAGTCCACTACAGATCCGTATATAAGCATAAATAAGCTGGGAACTCGGGCCCTGGGGCCTGCCCTAAGCCAGGCCTGGCTGAGCAGGGAGAGAGGTGCTGGAACACATCATCCCCCACTGAGCTGTGGAATCAGGGTTCCAGGCCACTGAGGGAAGACAGGTAGACCTCACAGGTCACGCATGAGCCCTGGTCCCCCAAAACACCTCCACCACTTCCATTCACCAACCCTCTCTCTATTCCTCCATGTGTTAGGAAAGGTGGAGGGTCAGAGAACGAGAGGAAGACCCTCAACAAGACAGACTGACCCAGTGGGCCAGAGTATGACCGATTGTGAGGATGGTGCAGGACTGAGCAAGGTTCAGATCCATTGTCCACAGGGTCGTCACATGTCACAGCTGCTTCTACGGCACCTGACAAATGCATTTTCTTCAAATACCCTGGGAGTAGACACATCGGTTCCATTTCACAGATGGGAAAAACAGACTCTCTAAGACATTTAAGCACTGATAGCGAGCGACATGGAACACAGCGTAGCATGAGCCCAACACCCAGGCGTCCTGTTTCTGCCAAGTCCTCAGGGTTAGGCTGAGCGTGGCCTGCCCTTGTGCCCCAGGAGCACCCCCTGCTTAGTCAGCAGAGCAAGGAGGGATCATATCCTTGGAAACCTGTTAATAGCTTCTCTTCCCCCCCATCGTCACCCCCAGGACTGGGTCACCAGCACCGAGCTCCTCATCTCCCTGGACCGGCTCAACACATTTGGGGATGACATCTTCAAGGACCCCAAGGTGCTCCAGTCCTACTACTATGCTGTGTCGGACTTCTCTGTGGGCGGCAGGTAGGTGAAGGCACGGTGGCGAGGCCTGGGGGAGGTTAGAGTAAAGCCGAACTCCAGGATCATGTGGAAGTCACCTACCAGTAACTGCGGAGAGGCAGCAAGTTCTGGTGCCCCCGGGGAAAGGAGGGAACCTGGATTCCAGCATTCAAGACCCTTCCACCTGGATTCCTGCTGCCTCCACTGCAACCTCCCCTCTCACGGAGCTTCCCGTTTGCTGAACACCCCAGGCTTCTGCCTGGAAGTTCCTCCCCGTCTCATCATGTGAGAAAAGCTACTGCCCCCATTTTCCCTTGTCCCCTCCACACACCCCGAGAAAGGCTCTATGCCGGGAGCTGGATTTGTGTTCTTGTCTGAGCATCGATCATTGCATACTATAATTTGTCTGTTTGAGCTTCTCCCTCTCCAAGAAGCAGGAGCCACCGCCGTTCTCATCACTGCCCCCCCACCTGCCCCCACTGGGGCTCGTCTCGTCTCGTCATGCCTGTCCTGGGCACTCAAGAAAGGCTGTGATATGTCTGAGGGCATAGATGATGGTGGTTGGCATAAAGGTTTGCAAGCTCTTTGTTTGAAAAGCAGCTCAACAGCGTGGCAGAGAGACACAGCTACTCACAGCTTCCGCTCGGCTGTCAGTCTGTCATCCCGTGGCGGGCTATATGTTGTTGTGAAGCTGGGAGCTGTGGTGCTGGTATCACAAATATGAGCGAAGCCACTCCTGGGAGACAGGCTTCAGTGGAGCTTCCAGATTAAGACAGGAAGATGTGAGGCCAGGAGGCTCCATAGAGGTGAAGATGGGAAACTTCATCTCACAAACTCTGGACACATCACGAGAGGCCAGTCCAGTTGGACATCCAGCTTACATAACGATGGTTATGAGCATGGACCACGGCCAGGCAGTGTTCTGTCTTGTTCACAGGGTCATTATCAGACAGAGCTGATGAGATGATGCCAGAAAACCACCACAGAGAGGCGAAGAGGGCCCTCGCCGTACCCCTGCCATTCACCCTCCACCTGCAAAAGCAACATTAGTTGATCATCTACTATGTACCCCATGGTATCTGTGGCTCAGTGGGAGGAGTCTTGCTTCAATGTGGGAGACAGGTTTGCTGTGCAGATTCTGCCTTGAGCAGAGAATAAGGATAAGGAGAGATGGAAAAGGGGCGGGTCAGAATGAGATCTTTGTTCCTGAAGAGCCACCTGTCACCTCTGCCCGTCTCTCTATAGCTGAATGCCCCCAGAGTCCCTCTGACTGAGTTTGACTACTCATGCCCCGGAGTATCTCCTGCTGCCACAGGCTGACCCGCCACCAGGAGGGGCTCTGCCAGTGGTGGCCCCTCAGCCACATCTTGCAGCTGCTGGGGAAATGCAGGCTGTTTCCACTTTGCCCCCTGCCACACCTACCAGGGAGTTCTGGTGACCTTGTGGATAACTAGCTGTGCTGCCAACCCAAAAGCACGCGATTCAAATGCACCAGCTGCTCCATGGTAGAAAGATGAGCAGTCTCCTCCCACGCAAGTTACAGCCTCTAAAACCTTGCTAGAGGGTCAGCTGAGCCAGTTCTGATGTGACAGCACATACCAGTAGCAAGCACTTGCTGCCGTCCCTGCAGCTGGCTCCCCTTGGTCCTGGCCAGCACCGCCCTGACCTCCCTCTGTGACCAGAACCAAGCCACTGTGCTCAGTTTGCCCAGCCCACATGAATTTTATCCACAGATGCCCATGGACAAGGGTACCAGGTACTCACTCCAGGCCCCTGTGTCTCAGGTGGTGCTGAGGTCCTTCTCTTCCTTGGGTCCTGGGGACCCAGAGCAGAGCACTAGGGACCCCTCTGACCCAATGTCCACCCTGGCTCTCTGACACCCAGTGTGCAAGCCTTCTGGTGAAAGGCAGATGTGCCCAGGCCAGGGGTCTGGTCTCCCTGGTCCACCACACAGCGCCCAGCGGGGTCCTCATGCTTCGGGAGCCCCTTCTTCTGGCTACTCTGCCTCCTCTCAGACCTCTGCATCTGAAAGCTGAACTTGGAGGCTGCCCCAGTAACTTCTGCTTCTCCAAAGCTGGGAACACAAGGTCTGGCTGCCTTCTTGGGGCTGTTGGTGTCATTAGATGCCATGCCATTGAGTAGAATAGGACTCCTAGTGACCTTGTGAACAACAGATCAGAGGCTTGCCCTGTCCCGTGCCAGCCTCACAATGTCCACCATGCTGGAGCTCACTGTTACAGCCACTGCAGCCATCCATCCTGTTCTTTTATTTTCCCATTGGACTTAAGAAAGGGAAAATACGGAATGCCGAAAGGAAAAGGAGCTGCTCTTGGGGCTGCTGCCACATCCCTCATTGGAGTCCCCGGAGTCATCGGTATATGGAGGGAGAAGGTCCTGCTGACCAGGCTCTGCATGAAGCATTTTGCAGCCAGAATTTCTTTGTCCACAACCATCTCTTGTTATGATCCCCACTTTACCTCTAAGAAAGAAGAGGTTCAGAGAGCTTGAGTGACTCACCCAAAGCCCTGTATGTAGAAGGGACAGCTCTGGCCCTGTTTGCACCATCATTCAGGGGCTACCTGTGCACAGGTGCTATGGTCCCAGGAGAGGTAGACACAGGTATTTCTGCCCTAGTCTTGTGAGACAATAGACAGTAATCAGAGTTTAAAAAAAATAAGCACAAACAGAATGATGGGAACAGGGGGGCTCAGGATGGGGTGTTTATGCAAAGCTCAGGGCTCTGGAAGCTGACAGGGTAGAGCTGAAGCCTGAGCCAGAGGAGAAACATGTGCATTCCAGGCAGGCAGATCAGTGTGTGCACCGTCTGGGGTTGGGAGCTGGGAAAGGGTGGGTGCAGCATGTCGATGAGGCAGCCTCAGCCTCGCAGGCCACAGACCAGGTTTATTCTTATCCCACAGTCAATGGGAAGCTGCTGAAGCATCTGACCAGGGTTGCAAAAGGGTTACTCTTTCAAGTTTTGAAAAGCAAAGATGTCCCTTTGATGTTTAAGGTGCATCTGACCCAAGCTACCTGCCTTTTCAGTCATCTCATATACATGTGAAAGCTGAGCTGTGAAAAAGGAAGGATTGATGCATTTGAACTGTGGTGTGAGTGAAGAATATTGACTGCTCTCCATCAACAACCAGGACAGCACAGCAAAGGAACGAACAGATCAGTCCTAGAAGAAATACAGTGTTCCTTAGAATCGAGGAAGGAGCCCTAGTGGCATAGTGTGGGGCTGTTAATGGGAAAGTCAGTGGTTCGTACCCACCAGGCACTCTTTGGGAGAAAGCTGAGACAGCCTGCTTCCATTAAGATCAGTTGTTGTTGTTGTTGTTGTTTGATGTTGTTGAACTGAGTACTATTCATAGTGACCCTATGAACAACAAATCTGACCCTCTCCTCTCCTGGGCCAGCCTCATCATCTCTGACACTTGAGCCCATTGCTGCTGTCCCTGTGTCAGTCCATCTGGCTGAGGGGCTTCCTCTCTATCACTGACCCTACAGCCTCAGCAACCCAATGGCAGGTTGCCATGGGTTACTATGGCAACTCATAGTAGTAGGCTTAGTGGATTGGAGTCAGGATGTAAGTAAGATTTTACTTGGGACATGTCATCAGGAAACAACACCATTTAGTAGAAAAGAACAACAGGTTTGGTAAACAGAGGGCTAGCTTAAATGAGAAAAGCCTGCAATGAGATGGACTGACTCAACGGTTACAGTCATGAAGATGGCTCAGAGCCGGGCGATGCTAGAGTCTGCTGTACATCGGGTGCATGAGTTGGTGTTAATTCACCAGCAACTAACAAGAAGCAAGAGTCAGATTTTTTTTAAATTTTTTTCTTTAAATAGCATTCAGTTTATTACAACTATTTAGTATTGGCTTCCCATATTTCCTCCCTTTTGTTTTTATCATAATTATGTTATCATCTAGATGAGCATCTAGAGTCAGATTTTTTAAAACATCCCAAACCCCTGAGCATGAGGAAAGATGAGAGAGGAGAGGAAGCCTGTGTGATAGATAGTCCGCAGCGAGTGCAGGCGTCCGGTGGGAGATGAGGGCAGTTTGGACCAGGGAAGCTTTGGGGGTGGGGCGAGGGGGTGGGAGAGAGTGGTGGTGGGTGTGGTGGGCATTTGCCAAGGTCTAACAGTTCCTAGGACAGAAAATCAGCTTTTGTACTTAATGGGCCATGAGGATAGGGAGTGCTAGATAAAGCTCATACTTCTGGTGGGGGCGAAGAAGGGGAGGAAGTGGAACACTGCCTTTCTTTAGGGTGTCTGTAACTACCAGGGACTCCTGAAGCTTGGGGATGAAGGAAGACATGTGGAGGTATCTGTGGGGTGTCAATGAGGACCTCCGTTCTCTTCCACTTCAAATCCACTTGATTCTACTCTAACCTCCTGAAAGTCAGACTCACTGAGGATAGCAGAGCGCAGAGCTCTGGGATCTGCTCACAGGGGTTTCAAGGCCAGAGAACATCTGGGCCCCAGCTGTCGGGAGCTGGACCACCCTCCAACCAGCCGCTGGCTGGAGAAGGAGGCTCACGGGTGGGGCAGGTGGCCCAAGCAGCCTGTGGTCCAGAGCGGCCTCACAGAATTTCATTCTCCTTCCCTGCGGGTCAGAGGGCTCCACGGGGGAGGCAGGCATTGGCAGCAGCCTCTCCGGGACAAGAGTGACCCCTGGTTGTGGCCCTAGACTTCTGTGTCCCACCCTGCTTTGTGCCTGTTTCACCTCAGCAGCAGGGCTCAGACTGCCTCCCTACTTCCTGTCCATGCTTGAAGCCCATAAAGGAATACTGCCCTGGAGCCTTTGCAGCCCTGTGTCCCACTTTAGAGAAGGTACTGATGTCCTAATCCCAATAGTGTCAGTAATTCCTCAGCGCCCACAGAGGAAGCATATGGAACATGGCCTGTGGAGAGTGTATTGATATCATGGGGCTGTTTTCATGAAGTACCGCAAATTAGGGGGCTCGAAACCACAGAGATGCATTCTCTCTAAGTTCTGGAAACCAGAAGTTTGAAATCAAAGTGTTGGCAGGACCTTGCTTGCTCCTTCCAGGCTCTTGGGGAGAAAACTTGTTCTTGCTGGTTTCTACGGCTCTCAGCACTATGTGGTGTTTCTTGGCGTGTGTCTGTGTCACACCGATCTGCCTCGTCTTCACACAGCCTTCTTCCCGTGCTGTGACTCTGCGAGTTCTCTCTTCTGCTTACTTATAAGGACAGCAGTCATTGGATTTAGGGGCCAGCTTAGCCCAGTGTGACCTCAGCTTAACTTGCTTTCATCTACAGAGACCCTCTTTCCCAAGTAGGTCACATTCTTAGGTTGCAGCAGGTGTGGCTTTTGGGGTCCAGGATTCAGTTCATTACAGGAGCTACCATGTGACTGTAGAGACACGTCCCAGGGCTCCAGGTCTGCGTGGATGTAGAGGACAGGGTACAGCCCCTCACTCACCTGATGTCTGCCACTTTGTGGGTCTTAGCCCCAGTTTCTTCAGCGCTGAAATAGGGATAATAACAACCCCTCCCCCCTTGGTGATGAGGGTCCAACAAGAAGGTGTGAGCTGGTGACTCACATGGGGCTGAGCTGAGTAAGACCTGGGGTCAAGGCCATCTTCTAAGTTCTCGGTCTGGCTGCTCAGGACAGGGTAATGGCCAGATGAGGTGACGGCCCCACGGAGCCAGGCCAGCCGAGCTTGTCACGCAGGCCCTGGAAAAGCTCTTTGTCACAGGATCTCTTCATCTTACAAGAGGAAGGGAGGGAATAGGAACATGGGGCCATGGGCTGCTCTCAAAGACATCAGTTCTGCTAGGAATCTGAGACAAGTCAGGGACTGTCCCCTGTAAGGAACAGCCTCTTTCTTCTCCTTTTTTAAGAAGTACAAGGAGAACAGCACAAGGCAGCCTTCCTAGCTGCCCTCCCCAGCGCCTACCACCAAGACCGCCCACCCATCCCTCCTCATGGTTGAGAAACAATTTAGTCTGAGTGTTTGCTGGCCCTTTGTGAGGCCCCTCATAGCGGGAATGCTCTGTGGCAGCTTTGCTCACTGCCTCTCACTGGCTGGAGGCCTGGGTCAATCTCTCTGTGCCTTGTCTCTTCATGTGCTAATTGAGGTCAGTAAAGGGCTGTGAGATGGGCAAAGATTCTGAAGCTTCATCTGACATACTTTGGACATGTTGCAAGGAGGAACCAGTGAAAGAGAGAGACATCATTCTTGGGAGGGTGGAGGGACAGTGCAAGAGAAGACCCTCAATGAGAGGGATTGATTCAGTGACTGGGGTAATGAGAGTAGGTGTGTCAGAGACAATAAGATTGAAACAGTACAGAGCAGGGTTCAGAGCTGTTGTACATAGGGTCACTATGAGTCTCAAGCAACTTGATGGCACATAACATCAGTGCGGTTCCTGGAGTTCTGGTGGCCTAGTGGCAAGAAGCTGCACTGCAATTCTGAAGGTTTGCAGTTTGAGGCCACCAGCTGCTCCTTGGGAGAAAGATGAGCAATCTCCTCCGTGCAATTAACTGCCTCTGAAAACCCACCAGAGGGTCACCTATGGGTCGGTTCCAACTCTACGATACACAGCAACAGTAACAACATGCTATTCCTGGAGCAGCCAGGCAGTAAAGCTCACACTCACAGGAACTACCTGCCCATTAACCCCCATCTGCCAGCCCCTTCAGGACCCTTGATCCTCACCTCCATGCTGTCTTGCAGGTGCAAGTGTAACGGGCACGCCAGTGAATGCGGCCCCAGCGAGGGCGGCCAGCTGGTCTGCCGGTGCCAGCATAACACGACGGGCGCAGACTGCGAGCGCTGCCTGCCCTTCTTCCAGGACCGGCCCTGGGCCCGCAGCACAGCCGAGGCCGCCAACGAGTGTCTGCGTGAGTGTCCAGGGGCCACCGACTCCCCAGAGGCTCGCTCCGGGTGGGGATGGGGGTGCACCTGGGTGGGCCTGGCTGGAGCAAGACTCTGAGCCCCACCATGCCATAGGGATGAGAGGGAACTGTGGGGGGCCTGGGGGAGCTTTAAGCCTTCATTTTCCCTAATCAACTTCACCCCAAGAGAGGTGCCCAAAGTGGGAGGCCCCCGATAGCTCCAGGCACAGTTCCTTTGTCTCCAGTCCTTCCAAGCCCAGTCATTAATCAAAGCCAGGCTACCCCAAATCCAAGGGAGTCCTGACCTAGCCACCCAGCCTTTCTCAGGGCTCCAGGCAGCGCTTTGATGTCCTAGCGCCCTGAGTGATGTGGCTTCACCCCCAAACCTCAGAAACTCCAAGGAGAAAAGGGTACCATCATGCCTTCTCAGTGACGTGAGGCCACACAGGGACTAACACCACCCGCCCCCGCCCCCTGCCTGGCATGCCAGCCCATCCAGACACCCAGGTCCCACAAGCCCCGCCCAGAAGCCCGCCCCTTCTCTCCTCCGCCAGCCATCTGGTTTCCCTTAGGCTCTCCGTGGGCTCTGTGGTCTGGGTGTTGGCAGCTGCCAGAGGAGGAAAGCCTTTGCGTGGAGACGCCTTGACCAGCCTGGCCTCCGGATCCCATTGTCCTCTTGGGTTGGGCAGCTAGGAGCCAGGGCTGGAATGGGGAAGGACAGCCTGTTCCTTGGGACAGAGTGCTGTGAACAGGAGCTGCCTCGGGCTGCCTTGGCCCTGATGGGTTCCTGCTGCCTTTGCTGGCCTGCCTGCCCTGGGGAGCCCTCCAGGCTGTGCAGGCTGCCTCCACAGCCAGGACACCAAAGGTCAGCTGACATGTGCTGTGTCCTCACCCCTGTGGTCACACCTCTGCCCTTCATTCCGCAGCCTGGAAGCCAGGCCTTCATGCTTGACCCTGCCGCCCCAGCCCAGTAAGCTCCAGAGCCCTGGATTCTGCTGACATCCTTCTAATCCATCTAACCCGTGACCTTGGTCCAGGCCCCATCACCTCACCACTGGGTGCTAAGCTCCTTCTTCCCTGCTGTTGCTTCCTGCAGCCCTCTTCCACTCACAGTCCTTGTAAAATGGAAATTTGATTGTACCCATTCTCTGCCCAGAAGCCTCCCAGGGTTGCTTAGAGTGAACTCCACTCGGCACACTGCCAGGCCTCCCAGGATTAAGCCCTGCTGACCCCACAGCTGCCCATCACATTGCATGCCAGCCCTGCCCAGCCTGGCTCGCGGTCAGTGGCACACCATGCCCACACTATCCCCACGCTGGGACCCGGCTTGTTTCTTTATCCCCTGGACCTTCTCCATCTGCCTGCGGCACCTTCTCCCCATTCACCATGTCGCTCCTTCCTGCTCAGCCTTCAGATTCAGCTTAGCTGTGTCTTCCCTGGGGAGCCCAGGTGCTTCGTCCAGGACAATTGGGAGAGCCCCTCCCTTCCTTTCAACTTTGCGCATGCTCCACCTCATGCTTCTGTCATCACAGTCTTCATCCATGGCCTGTTCCCTCACTCCTGGACAGAGGTGTAACCTGGGGAGAAGGACTGGGCTACCTGAGCACAGGATCGAGGTCTGTGTCAATCCCTGGTCCATCCCCTGGGCTCACCACATGGAACTGGCCCTTGATACATGTATATACATACATACATACATACATACATACATACATACATACATACATACATACGTGTGTGTTTCTTCCTGGGCTAATGAGTGAGTAAAGGGTGACGTGTTTTTTCTATGAGCCTCGGTGACCTGGGGCTTTTGAAGTGTTAGGGACCAGATTCACACAATTGTTAGGGCTTGGAAACTCTGAGAGAGATTTTCCACATAGCAGCTCTAGCAGGTACATTCTGTGAGTCGTGACCCAGTGACCAGACCTGCCTTTCTGGGGATGATCCCATGACATTTTGGTGTATTTACTAACGGTGGCCCCTTTGCTTTTATGAGTGCCCTGTTTTGGATGGTCAGTGATTGGTCTTTGTGTATTTCATCAAGCCAGGCCTGAACCGTTCCGGGGCTGGGCTTTTGTTCTCCTGTGGCGTTGCCTGCTTGTGGCATGTCTTCTCCTAGCATGCGCTGGGTGCTGTTCAGGAGCTCACAGGTTTCCCCCCTGGGCCCTCCGCAGCCTGCAACTGCAGCGGCCGCTCGGAGGAATGCACGTTCGACAGGGAGCTCTTCCGCAGCACCGGGCATGGCGGCCGCTGCCACCACTGCCGAGACCACACGGCTGGACCACACTGTGAACGCTGCCAGGAGAACTTCCATCGCTGGGACACGCAGATGCCATGCCAGCCCTGTGACTGCCACCTGGCAGGTGACTGGGGCCCCGGCCACTTCCCCCACCTGCTCCACCTGTGCTAGTTCACTGTCCCTGTGCCCTTCTGCCACCAGGCTCCCTGCACCTCCAGTGTGATGGCTCGGGCACCTGCATCTGCAAACCCTCTGTGACTGGCTGGAAGTGTGACCGCTGTCTGCCTGGGTTCCACTCACTCAGTGAGGGAGGCTGCAGGTGAGGATGGCCCGAGGGCAGGGTGAATGGCCCATTGTGGCCCATGGGGACCAGGCAGGTCTGCACATGGTAGTAGAATTGGACTAAATGGCAGGATGTGGAGGGATGTGATGCTCAGTCCTCTTCCTTTCCTTCCTCCCTCCTTTTCTTCCTTTCTGTTTCTCCTTTTTTACTATTGGCTTCAGTGCTCAGTTCCACAAGAGGACTAGGATGACCAGGCCCTCTCTTCACAGAGCTCCTATCCTGGGGAGGCAGAGATGAGTAGGAACTAAGGTGCTGACTCCTGTGGAAGTCCCAGTGGTCTTGAGGGTTAAGGACAGGCTTTTTGTAGTGACACTGAATTCTGAGACCTAATGAGCAAGAGCCAGGCAAGGACGGAGGGAGGGACAGAAGTTCCAGCTGGGCAGAGCATGTGCAATGGTCCTGAGGTAAGCACAGGCCAGACACACTCAAGGGCCTGCAGGGGAAGGTCATGAAGCTGAACATGGAGTATAAGGCGAGAGGATATGCAGAGGAGACCAGGACCAGCTGGGGCTTCAGAAGGAGCTGTGTGAAGCAGGAGGAGGACAGAATCACAGACCAGGGCCAGGGACCATAGCAGTTATGCCTGGGCATGATGCCAGTCTGGATAGGGTTTAGCCCTGGAGAGATATCTAACTGGAAAGAGTCCAGAGCTCCTTGGAAGGCAGAGCTGATAAAGCCTGGTCACAGAAGGCTGAAGAGGGAGAAGAGATAAGGCTGACCCCCAGGCTCTGCTTTAGGTAGCCTGATTGTGGGGGAGGGAAGAAGGGGACAGCCTGATGAGGGAAACACGGGGGTGAGAGGAGCTGGGGTGGGAGATGCTGAGTGCAGTCTGGGTATGCTGAATCAGTAGTGCCTGAAGTCCATCCAAGGAGAGAGCTGGGTAAGAGTTACTGGGGGCAGAACCTCAGCAAAGGGATCAAACAGTAGATGCTTGGCCATCACTTAGTTGAGAAAATACACACTGGCCAGAAGAACACAGCTATTATGAATTCAGAAGCACTTCTAAATGAATTTGGCTTTGATTAACTGCATCATTATATTTGGAAGTGAGTGAAAAAGGTATGAGAGAAGGGCATGGAGGTCTCAATCCCCTGCAAACACTCAGTGGTTCTGGACACGAAACTGGCCACTGGGCAGGGACCTGGCTGACTCCTGGGTCTCTCTGGCTCTAGGGCTTTGCATGTGCTGTTTTTCCTAGCCTGGCATGGTCTCTTCTCCCCCTTAAGCCTCTTCCAATTCATGTCTAGCAGCCTCCTGCTTGCTCTTCAGCTCTCAGCTACAGCACCACTTTCCCTGGGAAGTCTTCCCTCTAAGATCAGTAGCTAAGTTCCCTTCCACTTGCCCTTTGCCTCCACCCCCAGGCCAGGCCACCTGCTCTGTCTTGGTGCTGCCACAGCTTCCTGTCCATTCTCTCCCAGAGCACCTGTCACAGGACAGGTGTACCTTGGAGACACTAGAGATTCTATTCCAGACTGCCACAATAAAGTAGATATCATAAAGCAAGTCACGTGAATTTGTTCCCAGTACACATTACAGTCAGGTTTGTACTATATTGTAGTCTATTAAGGGTGCAATTGCATTATGTGAAAGTTTGAAATAGTATGAGAATGACCAAAAGGTGGCACAAAGGTCCTGAGTAAGCACAATGGGGAATGGTGACAGTAGACTTGCTCAACGCAGCATTGCCACAAGCCTTCAATTAGTTTAAAAAAATGCAATATTTTCAATAAGCAATAAAGAAAAATACACTAAAACAAGGTGTGCCTACATAGGGTCTGTTTAACTGCCTAGTCTCACTGGATAGTGTGCTCTGTGAGAGTATAGGAGCCATGTCTTACTGAGTGGGTAGGTGGATAGAAGGATGGATAATTGGTTAAGTAGGTGGCTGGTGAAGTTAGTGAATTAATACCTAGAAGAATGACTGAGTAGCTAAGGGGATGAATGGGTAGAGGGATGGATGGTTGGAAGGGTGTGTGCGTAGATGGATGGATAACTGGAAAGATGAGTGGCTGGGTGGATGAATGCGTGGATGAACAGATGAGTGGTGGCATGCAGCTGGATCCTTTACAGGGGTGTAGACAAATCAGTCCTTTGGCAAGAAGCAAAGAGTAAAGCCAGGGGTAGGTAGCTTCCTGGCTCAGTCTCCCTCCTGGTCTTTTCAGGATCAGAGCATGATAGAGAGATTTCTTCCAAGGAGGATGAGCAATTCCTGCTCTGGAATTACTCATTGGACACCTTTTCAGCTGTCCTATCTCTTTGACAGAGCCTGCACCTGCAATCCTGCTGGCAGCCTGGGCACCTGTGATCCCCACAGTGGGTGTTGCCCCTGCAAAGAGAATGTGGAAGGTAGCCTGTGTGACAGGTGGGTGAGCTGATTCAATACTAAACCAGCTGGAAGTGACCTCAGGGATGGTGGATGGGGCATTGAAGCTGCAGGACTGGGAGAGGTCGGTCATGGATTCTAGAATCCCTGTTATCTTCCACCCTTCCTAGAACACTGTGGATCTACCATCAGAGAAATTATCCAAACAAAGGATTTTTACTTTGATCCTACACCATTGATGGGTGTATATGCTATGCAAATACATACCTTTTATAGCTCAGAATTCTGAAAAGAACTGAAAAGGACAGGAGAAAGGGGGGGGGAAGGGAGGAAAATGTACAACAATGAATGAATTTTATATATATATATATATATATATATATATATATATATATATATATATATATATATATATATATATATTAAAGGACAGGACAGATTATTTAGTTCAGGGATAGCAAACATAGCATTTGTAGTGCAACTGTCTCATTTCATACTCATGGCAGACATCACTAATGGAATGCTGCCACAGACTTCCTGTTTTATACTCATAGCAGACATCACTAATGGAGCACTGGCACAACCCTTCTGTTTCACACCCATAGCAGACATCACTAATGGAGCACAGCAAGCTTTACAATACGTCCTCCTGTAGCCTCAGAATCCTTCTTAATACCCCACCAATCAATTAAGGATTAAGGATTTGTACGCTGGTAACCCAATCATGTTTCAAAAGGAATATCTGAAGCCCAGGGAGGTGACAGACTTTTCCAAGGTCAAAAAATCCTTAGATTCCTTCTTTCACTCATTCTAGAGCTGACCTCCTTGTTCCAATAGCGGGGCTGGCAAATAACTTCTTAGGTTTAACGCCTTGGGCACATACTGTCTCCTCTTCCTGGCTTTGTCTCAGACCTTTGAAGCCTTAATGCACCCAGCTCAGGTCTCGAGGGGGCCTCTTTGATGCCCTGGACTGAGCCCAAGTGACAGAGTGGCCACAGTCCCTGCATTCGAAGTGTCTGACATAGCATTCAGCTACAGACTCTGTTCTTTTATATTTTTTTTTAAAAAATTGTTTCTTTTATACTGGTTTGCTTACAGAGTTTGTATACATTGTTTTTCACACCAGATCTTTCCCATTTCCTTTACCCATCAAATTGTGCCACCCATCAAATTGTGCCACCTTGTGATTAACCCCCTTATCCTCACCCCTCTGACTCTGTTCTTGTCAATGTGTTTGGTTCAGGAAGAAGCCAGTGCCAAATTCATGTGGCTGGTCCCTGGCCTCAGTTGTCCCCTGACCAGGCCCAGCTTTCCCCTCACTTGACCAGGTGTGGCTGTGGGCCACTGGAGAGGGAGGTTTCTCCCCAGAGAGGCCCTGCAGTGTCAGATCCAACCTGAGTTAAGAGACTCAGTTTCTCCCCACAGGCCTGCTCTGACTGCCTTGTGACCTCAAGCACTTTCTCTCTCTGGACTTCAGTTTGTGCATGTGTGAAATGGGAAGACTTTTCTAAGGCGGTTCATCTGAACTGGCCCTGAATATCTGGGTCTTCAGATGCTTTACATGAATCAGATTCCTAATCCAAGCCTGCTCATGTGGAATCTCCTAGAATGAAAACCAGCAGTCTGTATTTGTAAAACATTTTCCTGGAGTTCCTTGGAAAATGGCTGGTTCTAGAACTGGGTGGGGAAAATGAGCCAGAAAGAATAGAAGTGCTTAAAAAACCAAAGTTTAGAACCAAAGTATGGTGCTGTTGTGTTGCCTGCAACCCTATATAAAACAGCCCTGAACCCTGCTCTATCCTGTGCCAATCTTATTGTCTCTGACACACCTACCCCCATTACTCCAGTTATTGAATCAATCTATCTCATCGAGAGTCTTCCTCTCTTGTACCGTCCCTCCACCCTCCCAATGAATGACGTCCCTCTCTAAGGACTGGTCCCTCCTTGCAACATGCCCAAAGTATGTCAGACGAAGCTTCAGAATCCTTGTCTCCAAGGAGCAGCCTGGTCTCACCCTCTTTAGGATGAACCTGTTTGTTCTCCTAGCAGTCCATGATATATCCAATACTCTTCTCCAGCCCCACAGCCCAAAGGCATCAATTCTCCTATCATCCCTAGTCATTGTCCAGCTTTCTGATGGAAGTGCTTAAAAACCAAATAAGAACAAAGAAACAAAAAGAGCAATAACAACAACAATAAAAAAAAACAAACACAAGATGGGGCAATGACAAAGGGACACAAGACCCAACCCTAAGGAGTGTCTAGAGCTGGAACAATTTTGAGTCACGATATAAACAGTGATGAAATTGGATTCTAACCCAAAGAATAAAATAAATATCCATGAGTTCATACTGATTTAAAAGATTCTTAAACAAACAAACAAACAAACAAACAAGGACAAAAGGGCACTGCTTCCTTCCAGAAGAATTCTAGATCATAAATGTGGAAGGAATGAGTGAAATAGAAAGTCGCTGTTAGGACATCGCAGTAATAACTTCTGCAGGCGACCACAGTGATGAACACCACAACTAATGGGCCAAACGTTAAGGAGAAATAGGGCACAGACACAGTCTCAAAGTATCTCCCTCAAAGAGGGGGTTTATTAATTGCTGTCTGTTAACCTCCAAGTCGGAGTAAGAAACCGCTGCTTCCATAAAGATTTACACACTTGGAAACTCTGTGAGGCAATTTGGTTCCATCCTGTAGGGTTTCTTTTGAGTCCACAACAGCTGGAGAGCAGTGGGTTTGGGTGGTGGTTTTTAATACGTGTTGTTGTTGTTGTTGTTGTTGTTGTTGTGTACCCTCAAGTCAGAACCGACCCATAGCAGACCCTGCAGCGGGTTTCAGAGGCAGTTACTCGCATGAGAAGAGATTGCCCATTTGTCTCCCACGGAGCAGCTGGTAGATTTGAACCGCCTGCCAAGATTGTAGTGCAAGTTCTTACTGCTTGCTATCAAGGAGATGGAGTTCAATTCTGCTCCCTTTCAACTGGACTAAGAGCCCTGGTGGTGCAGTGAGTAAGCACTTGACTTCTCCTTGAAAGACTGGCAGTTTGAATCACCCAAAAGTGCCTTGGAAGAAAGACCTGGTGGTCTACTTCCAGAAGATCGCGCAGCCACTGACGCCATGATGGAGCCGGTTCCACCCCAGAACACACAGGGGCTCCAAGTCCTGGAGTCTCAATGGTAACTGGTTTGACGTTTTGGTTTGGCGTTCAATTTAGTGACTTTCTTCTGATAACTGTTGTTGTGTACTGTGGAGTTGGAATCCACTCATAGTTGACCTTGGCAGGTTTTCAAAGGGAGGATATTGCCCAGGTTTCTCCAGCAGGGCATCTGGTGGATTTGAACCACATACATGCCTTTGGGGTTGCACTGCAACTTCTTACCCCTGGGCCACCAGAACTCCCTTCTCGTGATGAGAAGAACAAGAATTTTGCAGTGTAGAAATGAGTCTTTAACCTAGAGATGAAAGTTAACATCACTGGTAATATGAGGTGAATATCCTATAGAAAATAAACCCAACTAAACAAAACCCATTATCATCAAATTGATTCCAGCTCCCAGTGACCCTGTAGAATAGGGTAGAACAGCCAGCCCTTAGTGTTTCTTTGGCTATAAATTTGTCAAATACAGACTGCCAAAAAAAAACCCCAACCCCCCCAAAAAAACCTCAAACAAACCACAACAAAACAAAAACAGACTTAAAACACCCAAACGCAGAGTGCTGAATGTTTGTCCACTGAAATGAGTGGTGGGTTCAAACCTCTGACCTTAAGTGAGCAGCCTACCATGTAACCATGACCCCATTAGTGTCCTTCAGGTATCACATGCCCCAGAGAAAGTGTCATGAAGAGGATGCCTCATCTCTGTGTGTTCTCCGCCAAGTCCATAACCCGAGACCAATCATAAAGCCCCTCAATAAAGCCGACACAGTGTCAATGATGCGCTCGGACCCATGGTGTGGGCAGGGCGAGGTTCTGACCGGTGGTTCATGGGGCCTGAGGCATAGTAGACCTGATGGCACCCAGCAATCCTGCCACCACTGGTCATGAGAAGACATCTGACAAACCCAACCCGAAGAATTTTCTACAAAATAATTGACCAGTACTCTTTGAAAGCATCAAGGTCATGAAAAGACAGACTTGGGAGATTGCAGAGGATTGGAGGAGACTGAGAAACCATGGTAATGAGTGCAATGCCGTTTCTTAGGTCAGCTCCTGGAGCAGAAGAAAGGATATTAGTGCAGGAAGTGGTGACATCAAAAGAAAGACTAAAGTTTAGTTAATGGCATTGTATTCATGTTCATTTTTTGTGTGTGCACTATGGTTACATGTGATTTTTAACATCAGGGGAAACTGCGTGAAGAATATAAGTTTCCAGCCAATTCTCATTTTCTATAGCCGTTAGTTATACAAAGTCATTACAGACAGTGAACTAGAAGATACAGAATCAATTGCTCCAAGGGAAAATACAGAGTGAGGCTCCTTACAGCCTCTGGTCACATTTTTGTCAGCATGACCTTGTTTTGTGTATGTTTCTGTTAAGAGACCATGTACTTAATATTTATTTTTTACTAATTAACATCAGACTCCCAGCCAAAGGCAGTGGAAACCAGGCCTGAATGAAGCTCATCTCCACCCCTTTTGTCTCTGTGAGGTGCGTCACAGCCTCTGGTACCTAGGAATACCACACAGTGCTTCAGCACCCTGCTTGGGGCCACTTTAAACAGCAAAATCACCCCCAGGAAGCACAAAAATACAAAGAACAGCCCTGAAGTAGACTCACAAGAAGGTCGAGTGTCACCTTGTTTGACCAGCTGGGGACGTGAGACTCGAATACCTTACTGCTCTGCTCTTGTTCCTGAATGACCACGAAGGTGCCATGGGCTTGGAAAGAAATTCTCACAAATGGACACGTTCACAAATAGGAATCCATGCATGATGAGGATCGACTGGATAAGGAACTCTATTTAAGTTCCTTATTGTAAACATTTAAGGAATCTTTACAGCTCCCCTATAAATTGAAACTTCACACACACACACACACATTTTCCAGGTGATTTTGGATCTTAGTCCAATTGCAGTCACAGAGCCTGTCTGGCTGTCCCCTTCCTCAGCCCACGCTGGTCCATGCAGCCACAGTGGCCTTGTCCTGCCTCCGTTTCAGATGCCGCCCAGGGACATTTAACCTGCAGCCCGACAACCCATCAGGCTGCAGCAGCTGTTTCTGCTATGGCCACTCCAAGGTGTGCACGGCTGCCACCTGGTTCCGGGAGCACCAGATCTTCGCCCACTTCCACCAGGGTAAGAAATGCCTCCTCCCGCCTCCAGGCCAGCGACTTCTACCCTTGTGGGCAGATAACCTACGTGTTGATGGATGTGAAGAGGAGCCCAGAGCTGAGGCTTGGTTTGCGACACTCCCACTACCTACTGCTGATCAGCTGTAAGAGCTCAGCCCCTTGGCCACCTCCCCTGCCCTGTCCTTGCTCTTAGCCCCCAGCAGCATTTATACTTAGGACAGTTGGGGGCCTGGACACCTGGCATCTTTTTTTTTAACAAACAAATTTATTTTCTTACATTTTAAGAGGCTCTAAGTCCAAATTAAGATTTCCAGCTGTAGAGCACCTGGTATTTTCTGGATCCTGTTGGGGAATTTCCAATCACCCTGCCAGGGTTGGCAAATCTGAATGCTGGGTGTTCAAATTCAACTCTCTTGTCTCCATTTATTGACCACCTGCTGTATGCCAGGCATGTATTAGAGTTCTTTTCCTGCCTGGAACCTACCGGTAGATACTTAGAGGGGAAGCAACTGAAGTCCAGAAAAGAGGGTCCTTTGTCTTAGGTCACCTGGGTCGGTCACCTCCTGAGTTTGCTGTTTACCAATGTGCAGGGTGCTGGGTCCTGGACTCCAGGTGGCACAGCCACAACTTCGGAGCATGGGCAGTGACCGTGGTACAGGGAAGTGGCCACGTTCTGAATTCTGTATTGTCACGACCTGCTTTGGGCTGGGGGTCTTGGGAGGATGGCATGCTGATTGTCCCCTCCCTTCGTCCTCCCTCCCACCTTTCTGTCCTGGAGCAACCATTCACCTTGGTTTAACAGGGGGCTGCAGGAAGGTGGCTTTGCTCTGAGCAGATGACAGTACCTACCCCATTGGGATACTCTGTTTAGCGAGGAGAATATTAGCCCAGAATAGAAACTCAGTTGCAGGCTCTGGGACGCCACAGACGTGGTCACAGCACTCCCTCTGCTGGACAATATGCAGAATGCAAGCCTGACTGGGTGAGTTGTGGGGACAAAGATGCTATGGGCTGCAGATCACTCTTCCATAGATCATAAAAATACCTCTCTCACCTTGCTGATTTGGTGCTTAATTTGAGTCATCTCATTTTGCCTTCATAATTAAACTTTTTCAGTCCCAGAATCCCTTTTTATACACCCTTTAATATTACTGCGGACCCCAAAGATCCAAAGACCTTTTAATTATAGCATTATTTATTTGGATTTCTTGAATTTGAAATTGGACTCAACTTATTTAAAAAGATCTGTGTGATAATCTATTGTAAAATAGCAATAGAATACCTATCAGTTATAACAAAAAAATAGTATACTTCTTTGAAAAAGAACTATCTTTTTAAAAAATGTCATGTGAAGAATAGCATTTGTTTTACATTTAAAAAAAACAACACTTCAAAATCTGGATTAACAGAAGTCAACTTATTGCCACTAGGCTTCTGCCATTAGAACTGTTGGGAAGGCACACTCCCAGCAGCTTCTGGAAAATTCTGCGGTACACTTGTGAGAGAAACAGAATGAAAATGCAAATTACATCATGGGGGCATGAAGAACATTATTCTTACCTTCCCACCCCCTGAAAGGATCTCACAGGTTCCCCCAGAGCATCCAGACCATACTTTGCATACTGATTCCCAGAATCAAATAAGTTCATCATTGTCCACATTTTGCATATGAGGAACTGATTTCAGAGAGGTTGAGACCTGCCCTGGGTCACACAGCCAAGAGATAGCAGAACTTAGTGTACTGGACAAGCCCTTCACTGCCCTTTGTGGCCTCTCCATTCTATCAGCTCATCAGCACACCAGCCATTTGACCAGCACCTCACTCCCTAGCTTCCCTGCAGAGCACCCTTTTGAGGTCTTTTAATTTATGGTCATTTGCTCCATGTCCAGCTGTTGTCAGACAGAGGGTGTGCTGGATGGAGACTGGAGGCCAGAAAGTCTAGGGTTCTACTACTGGCCCTGCCACTTCCAAACCAGCTAGCCTCCATGCGAAAGTGGGCTAATTGTGCAATTCAGATGACTTTGAGTGACAGGCGTGATGAGCTCATAGGTGAGAAAGCTCCCAGGAATGTCTGTGATGGGTGTGAATGCCTGTGAGGTGGCCCAGCACCCCACAACCTGGGGTGTCAAGGCTGTGTCCCTGTGTTGTGTTCAGCCTATCTCTAAAAGAAAGTCCTCAGGGTACACTCTGGGTGACAGGTGTGGGGCACTGGGAAGGGTGTGAAGTGTAAGGAGAGGTGGGGCCCTGTAGGATATGTCCAGCTACTCTGGATGTCATACTCATGGTGGGGTGTGTGTCTGTGTTTGCTGCCCAGGAGCCGAGGGCTGGAAAGCCAGGAGTCAGGAAGGCCCAGAGCACCCTGCACGATGGACTCCAAGGGGGATCCTCCTGAGCCCAGAAGATGGGGAGGAGCTTATAGCACCAGGTACCTTCAGCCGCAGGCACGACAGACGGCCCTGTTAGCATCCTACTGCTGCCTTAGCAGATGATCCAAACTAGTGGCTTAAACCCATTCAAAGTTATCACTGTACCATTCTGGAGGGCAGAAGTAAAAAAAGTGGGCTGTTAGGGAGAATGTGTCCTTTCCTCTTCCAGCATCTGGAGGCTGCTCACCTTCCTTGCCTCGTGCCCCCTCCCCACCCTCCCCCGCTTCAAAACCAGCAATGTCTGGCTGAGCCTCAGGCTGCATCCCTCTGCCACTGACTCCTCCACTTCTCTACTCTAGTTGAAAGGGCCTTATAATTACCCTGGATCCATCTAGATAATCCTGTCTTAAGGTCAGCTGATTGTTCAGTACTGTTGAATTTTATCTTGTTTGACTGTGTAATTGCCCATAAAGTCAACATAGGAATTTATTATCAAGCTGATTAAATAAGCACCTTCTCTTATTAAAGCCACCTCCTCTTCCTCTTGTCTTCAGAGAAGTTCCTGGGAGACCAGCGGTTCAGCTACGGGCAGCTCCTCACATTGACCTTTCGGGTGCCCCCCGGGGGCTCCCCGCTCTCCGTACACCTGAGGTTGGAAGGAGCAGGCTTGGCCTTGTCTCTGGACCACTTCAGCATGGCTGGCCCGGGCGACACTGGACGGCCTGGGGAGGCGAAGTTCACCTTTCAGTAAGTGTCCGCCTCCGTCCTGAAGGGGGGCAATGTTTTGCTTATCCTTGCACTCCGGGCACTGTTCCCTTTCCCGGTGTGATCTAGGGGACCAGTGCCGATTCCGAGGTCCCCACATTCCCTGCCCCTGCCCGAGGGTCCTTGTGGTCACCTGCCCCCTGGTCTGACCATTCTCTGTGCCAGGTTACAGGAAACCTCCGAAGATGCACAACCTCCGCTGCCCGCCTTCCACTTCCAGCGGCTCCTCGCCAATCTCACTGCTCTGCGCATCCGAGCCAGCAGCTCACACCCAAGCCCTCCGGGTCAGTAAGCACAACACGCCCGACCCTCCTGAGAGCTGAGCACTCAGACTAGGCCCTGCCTCGTCCTGTAGAAGAAGCCTCATTGCAGGAGAGGCTTTACCTGACTCAGTGATTCTGTAATCAGCAGGGACAGTGAAGGCATATGCTCTAAGCAGGGACTGGGCAGGTGAACAGACAGCTCTATGGCCATCAAAACATCCCGGAGCCATTGTGTGCATCAGGGCATCATCATTTAGCTACCGTGGCCAGGGCCATGGGACTCTGGGAAGTGCTGGGGGCTGGGGGCAGGGTTCCCCTGGAGGAGCGCCCCCTCCCCCTTGCTGGTCACTGCTGGAACCACATTGAAGGCACCTTCGCAGGTCTGTCTAAACCTCTACCCCTAAACCAAAGCCTTTGCTATTGCGTTGATTTCTTCTGATTCATGATGACATCTTGTGTTACAGAGTAGAACTTCACCACAGGGTTTTCCAGGCCTTTCTTCCGTGAGCTTCTGGTGGGTGCCCCTTCCCAAAGCATGAAGCTAAATCAACACACATCATGGATCAGCCTTTGTCACCTGTCATAAAATGATCCCTACTGACGTAATTATCCTCTGGCCTGTCCCTCTCCCTCCTCTTTCCATAATGCCTTTTCCCTCCTCCGTGTGCGCTCTCTCCACCCCACCCCAGCTGTGTGTGGAGACCAAGCGCCCTGTGGGGGCTGGGCTCTCCCTCTTCACCCTTTCCAGCCAAGAACTCAGCAGGAGTCACATCTTCACTCCACTGCGGACCTGACAGAGACCCGGGTGGGGGTGTTTATTGATTACTCTCTTCAATTTTTTTTATCCTTGGTTTTAATTATGAATGTCATAAAGGGTCACATAGAAAATTCCATCAGTGTGAATGGATTGGTTGCATTGATTTTCAATATTGCTTTTTCATTTTTTGTCATGGATTTCCATCTGATCTTAGTTGTGTTCTTTCTTCTATTCTGGGTGTCCTTTGTTCTCCATTTAATGATTTCTAAAGGCCAAAGCTGAAGTCATTGATTTAAATCCTTTCTTCTTTTCCATTATAGGCATTTGAATCTATGATTTTTTTTCTCCCCCACCTCAGAGGGCTACTTCCCTGATATCTCACTGGTTTTGATATCTTCTCTTTACATTCTACATAATGAGAAGTGTCTGTCCCCAGACTGAGCCCTCGGTGTTGAGTGCCATCGAGTCAAACATAACACATAGCTATCTTATGAACAGTGGCTCAGAAGCCTGCCACCTTCCATGCCATCCTCATCATCTCTGACACACTCGAGCCCATGTTACAGTCACTCATTGAGGGTCTTCCCCTCTTCACTGACCCTCCACCTTTTCCAAGCACGAGGTCCTTTTCCCTCTGTAAATCCGATGGCCTAGTGGTAAGGAATTGTACTACCAACCCAAAGATACATGGTTCAAATCTACCAGCTGCTCTGTGACAGAAAGATGAACACTCTCCTCCGATGCCTCTGAAAACTCATCGGAGGGTCAGCTAGGAGTCAGTTCAGACTCAACAATACATAACAACAAGACCCCTCAGAGGGGTCACCAGTAACAATGTGGGTGTAGCTAAGGATATAAAATGGAGGTGAGTCCACACATAGAGTTTTTTGTTTTCTAAAAGGAAACTCCACTGTGTGTAGTATAGAAAATTGTTTTCTCCATTTCCAAATCGTGGCCATCTTTTCCTACCAGTGTGTAAGGTGTTCTTTCAGGATGATTAGCTGTTGCCAGGGTCTCAGGTTAAGGACGGATACAGTATAATTGTAACATTGTTCAGAGGCACAAGAAATACTTGAGTACATGCTGGCAGTGAATGTTTTAAATCTTTGAAATATAGACAAAAGTTATAACCCTTCGTTCCACTCTCTCCCTAAATGCCATATTTTTTCACTAGTAGTGCTTTATTGTTTTGTAAAACCATATATATCTATAAAATCTTTAAGAGCCAAACCCTCTGTCACCCCATCAATTGTGACTCCTAGTGACCCTGTGGTAAAGAGTAGAACCCCGTAGAGAGTCGAAGGCTGTAAATCTTTACAGAAGCAGCTGCCATAGTGTTCCCACAGGGAGCCACCGGCGAGTTTGAACCCCTGATCATTAGCGCTTTAATCACTGTGCTTCCAGAGATCTTCTTAGAATTAAAACAAAAAACCTCAACCTCAAGCTCATTGCCATCAAACCAGAACTGAGTTGGTTCTTCATTGGGTTTTGGAGCCTGAATGCCTGGGAGGAGATTGTCCATCTTTCTCCCACAGAGTCACTGGTAGATTTGAACTGCCTTCAGGGAGTGTGACCTTTGGGTTAGCAACCCAACTCCCTAGCGACAGGGCCACTGTGCTATATATCTAAACACAAAATCTGTCCTTTAGTCATCTCTAAGTTTGCAATTCAGTGACATTAGTTACGTTCACAACCATCACTACTATTTCTAAAACCTTTTTATCACATCAAACAGAAACTCAGTACACTTTAAGCACTAATCTCCCGTTCCTCCCTCCACTCGCCCTCCAAACCCTGCTAACCACTAATCTACTTTGGTCTCTGCGCATTTACTTTTTTCAGGTATTTCTTCCAAGTGATACCACTTTTCTCTTTGTGGCTGAATAATATTCCACTAAGTGGATAGGCCACATTTTGCTTATCCATTCATTGGTTTGATGGACACTTGGATTGCTTCTAATTTTTGGCCATTGTGAATGGTTTTACTATGGATGTTTGAGAATAAGTGTTTTGAAGCTTGTTTTCAATTCTTAAAGATTCTCACCACTGGGCCAATTGACAGCTCCATAATAGATGGAGAAGAGATTGAGGTTGTCAGCAATTACAGCTTGCTCACTCTTAACACCAGAAGTCAGGAAATCAAAAGATGAATTGCGCTGGGAAAATCTGCTGTCATAGACCTCTCCAGAGTGCTGAAGAGCAACGATGTCAATCTAAATACAAAGGTGCGCCTAATCTAGGCCATGGTCTTCTCAATTACTTGTTATGCTTCAGAGAGCTAGACAATAACTAAGGATGACAGAAGAAGAAGAATAGATGCCTTTGAGTTGTGATGCTGGAGAAGAATCTTGAACAAACAAATTGATCTGTCTCGGAGAGGGTTAAACCAAACCTCTCTTTGGAGGCTAGGATTTTGAAGCTCCGCCTCACTTACTGTGAGCATGTGGCCAGGAGGGATTGGTCCTTGGAGAAAGACATCATGCTCAGAAGGGTGGATGGAGAACACAGGAGAGGAAGACCCCGGATGAGATGGATTGATATAGTAACTGGGACAATGGGGGTTGGTGTGTCGGAGTTAATGAGACTGGCTCTGGACAGGGAAAGGTTCAGAGCTGCTGGATGCTATACATCACTATACATCTCAGGCGACTCAATGGCATATAACAATAATATACTATGACAGGTTTGGAAGCAAGAGTGGCACCCACTTCCTAAACAACATGCTTCCGAAACTCTGAACTTTGACAAAAGTCGATAGTTGTAGAGGGGCTTCAGGCCTTTTGTTCACAGGATCACCATGAGTCATGTTCGACTAGCAGGAAATCAACAACAACAACCATGAGTATGTTACTAGGAGTAAGAAGGCTGGGCTCTGTGATAATTGGGTGTTTACTGGGGAATTGTCAAAATGTTTTCCCACAATGATGGCACCAACTTACACCCCCCAAGAGCCACGCATACGCGTTCCAACTTCTGCACATCCTTGCTGACATTTCTCTCTCTTGTGATTATAGACATCTTAGTAGAGGTGAAGTGGCCTCTCCTTGTGGTTTTGATTAGCATTTCCCTAACGCCTGATGATGTGCTTCTCTTCGCTTGTTTGTTTGCTATTTGTGTGTCTTTTTTGGAGAGCCATTTGATTCCTTTTGATAGCTCCTATTTGCATACTGAGATTTTTGAGTCTCTCCACACATCCACATCCACTCATTACAGTGTAGATCTCTGTAGTGATCTACACTGTAGTGGCGAATTTTAGGAGTCCTTGCCTGACAGTTCCAACATCTGCATCTCTCTGTTCTGGTCTTCACTGCTTGTCTCTTAAATTTGGGTGACATTTCCCTGTTTCTTTGTGTGTCACATAATTTTGGGTTATATCCTAGTTGTGATGAAGAATACATTGTACAGCTTCTGGCCTAGCTAACTGTGAACTATTTCTCCATACACTGCTCTTACCAGGTACCATCGAGCCAACGATGACTTAAAGCAACCCAGTGAACAATAGCTCTGAACCTTACACCATCCTGAGCCACCCTTACCATCTCTGATATACTCAAGTTAAAGTTGCTGTGTGTAACTATCTTGTTGAGGGTCTTCTCTTTCTCTGACCCTCCACCCCATACAAGAAGCAGTAAAAAGAGTTGCTCAATTACTTTAGACTTGGCATAAGTCCGTGTTGTGTGTCTTCCACCTGTCATTCAGGAGTCAGACAGAGACTTGGGCTGAGCTTAGATGCAGAGTCTGGCGCTCCACACCTCTGCTCTCTCCTTTATGCATTTTCTTGACTTTAGCTGCTGGGCACCCAGTCTCTGTAATTGATCCAAATAACTAGACTGGGTTTTGTCTCTCCCACGTGATGCAGCCTGGTGCCTTCGCTCTGACTAAAAGTCATAAAAATGGGAAATACCCAGCGCTTCTCTACTATCTGCCTGCTCCCACTTGCTCTCTGGGCTCTGCAGACAGTTGTTTTCCTATTTTATCCAGAGTGTAGATTTGCTGTCTTATGGGAAGGGTGGTCTGCTTGCAGCTATCCTTCTGGTACTGGAAGCAGAATGTCTCATTCATATTGATGTGTGTGTGTGAATTCCCCACACTTTTCATTTTTTACTCTGGATTCCCTACACTTTGATACTCCACTATAATTGAGCTTTAAAGTGTTTACCAGTGTGGAGGGTGTGAATGCTGTGGCTGTAGTTTATTTGTTTTAAAGTATCATTGTTGTGGAAAATACAAAGAAAACAACATTTTCCTCATACATATTCACTAAAGCCAAGCCAAACAATCATGTTGTGCAGCCATGACCAAGATCCGTTGCCAGATTTTCCATCCCCATAAACGGCAGCTCAGTGTTACCTGAATGACAGTCCTTCCTTGCCCATCCCTCCTGCCACGGGTAACCACTCTGATCTCTATTTGTTGTTGTTATGTGCTGTTGAGTTGCAACCCATAGCAACCCTCTGTACAGCTGCTCTGAAGCCTGCCCTGTCCTGAGCCAGCCTCACTGACTCCAACACACCTGCCTCCATTGCCCCAGTTACTGTGTCAATCCATCTCATCCGGGGTCTTCCCCTCCTGTGCTGTCACTCCACCCTTCCAAGCATGATGTCCTTCTTTAGGGACCAGTCTCTCCTGGCTACGTGTCCAAAGTATGTGAGATGGAGCATCAAAATCCTAGCCTCCAAGGAGAAACTTGGTTTCACCCTCTGAAGTCCATGGTATTTATGTTCAAGACTCTTCTCCAACACCACAACTCAAAGGCTTTGATTCTTCTGTCATCCTCCGTCATACCTTTGCTTATTATTGATAGTTCAATTGACCATACCACACAGAGTTTATCTTTTGTGATTGACTGATTCCTCATGCCGTAATCCTTTCAAAGTCCACCCTGGTGCCGTCCACATCAAGACTTGATGCCTCTTTATGGTGGGGTGATAGTCAGCATAGGTGTCATTTTGACTTACATATCTTTGATTACCTGTGAGTGAGAATGTCTTTTTAGAAGATTCCCCACTTATCTGTTTCTTGTTTATTCTTCAATTATAAATGGTTTGTTACTGTTTTTATGTACCGTCAAGTCAGAACCGACTCATAGTTGACCCTCCGGTGGGTTTTTAGAGGCAGTTAATTGCACCAGAGGAGACTGCCCATCTTTCTCTCACAGAGCAGCTGGTGGACTTGAACCGTGTGTCTTTGGGTTGGCAGCACAATCCGCTTGTTACTCTTGTTAGGTGTTGTCAAGTTGAGTGTGACTCGTAGTAACCCTATGAACAGCCAGCCTGAACCTTGCCCTATCTTGTGCGGTCCTCATCATCTCTGACACACTGGAGCCCACTGCTGAAGGCACCAGGTCATTCCATCTCACTGGGGTCTTCCTCTCCTTTGCTGACCTTCCATCTTTCCAAGCATGATATTGCTTTCCAAGGAATAGCCTTGCCTAGCTGCATGTCCAGAGTATGAAAGATGAAGCTTTGCCAGCTTTGCCTCCAGGGAGCACTCTGGCCACACCTTTTCCTAGACATATCTATTTATTTTGGCAGTCCATGGGATATTCAGTACTCTTCTCCAATACCACAACTCAAAGCCTTCAATTCTTCTGTCATCCTTATTCATTGTCCAGCTCTCTGATACGTAACAGGTGATTGAGAAGGTCATGGCCTGACTCAGGCACACCTTAGTCTTCACAATGACATCATTGCTCGTGAGCACTTTGAAGAGGTCTCTGATGGTGGACTTAGCCAAATACAAGTACATCTCCTAACTGCTGGAACCAAGGTTGTTAATTGCTGATCTGAGCAAGATTAAATCATTGACAGCTTCAATCCTCTATCTACCGTAATGTTGGCTATTGGACCTGTGGTGAGGACTTTTGTCTAAAGCCCCCTAAACAGTTCATAGTCTGCCCTTTTATATGTGGGACAGTAACCCTTTGCCTGGTACATATGTGATGAGAGAAGTTTAGAGGAGAAATAGATACATGTCAGTAACTCTTGTTCTCTTCTCCCGCTACAGGCCACGTGGTCCTGACTCAAGTGCAGCTCATGTCAGCCCAGCGGGGACCTTTCCCCCCAGCCTCCTGGGTGGAGACTTGCTCATGTCCCCAAGGGTACGCAGGCCAGTTTTGTGAATCCTGTGCCCCGGGATATAAGAGAGAGACACCAATGGGAGGTCCCTATTCCAACTGTGTCCCCTGCACCTGCAACCAGCATGGCACCTGTGACCCCAGCACAGGTGAGCTGCCCCACCCCCACCCTCATCTTAAGGTCACCTGGGCTATACCCAGAACTGCGGATGGGTGCTGACCTCACCAGGTCAGCTTGGCATGGGCACTGGATGCTTGTGAACCTGTGGGGTGGCCCAGGCCTGGGATCCCTGGGAGTCTTTGTATTTCGTTCAGAGCTGTTGTGTACTGTTGAGCCAGGACCCTCCAGTAGCTTTTCAGAGGCTGTAAATTGCACGGGAGGAGATTGAATATTTTTCTCCCATGGAGCAGTTGGTGCATTTGAACTGTGTGCCTTTGGGTTGGCAGTGCAACTGCCTATCCACTAGACCACCAGAGCTCCCTTTAATGAAAGTAGTAACTAGAATTTATTTAGGTGTCAGGCTCTGTGTTAAAGATTTTGTATGCAAGATCACAAGTCCTCACGTCACCCTATGACCTAAGATAATTATCATTCCAGTTGCAAACTTATTAAAGATCAAGAAAAGTACTTGTTAGCCCAGCTAAAGGCTAACAATGGCAACAGTGGATGGGCCCTTGCTGTGTTCCAGACTCCATATGAAGAGCCTGGCACATTCACCAAATCTTCACTCGGTCCCATCGCTCCTATTACACCAGCAGCATCAGCTAGGGTCCTCAGGTGACCCCCTCTAGGCTGCCTGCTGTCTATTCACCCTCCTCCATCCACCCTCCTTCCACTCCCTAGAGAAAGTCCCAAGACAGACCAGAAAAAACGACTTTGAGGGCTCCTGCCATACAGGGGGATGCTATAAGAAAGGGGCCAGGTGATGGCCAGGAGGCTCTTGTGAGGGTCACACAGCACATAAGGGTCGGTCAACACAGAGAACCTCCCCACTTGTGTGGTTGTGTGTCACTGTGTCAGACTGACTCACAGCTGAGCCTCCTGACCCCACAGCTGGCCTGGCAATGCAACTCCTTACCACTCAGACCACATAGATCCCCTCACCACTTGTAGCAGTGGGCAAATCTTTCCCATCCATGCTTCCCCATTTGTAAGGTGAGGGTAACAATAGTCTATTCAACACCTAGAAGTTCCAGGGATGTAATCACTAGAGAGTTGTGCTGCTAACCTGAAGGTGACCAGTTTTAATCCACCAGCAACTCCAAGGAAGAAAGGCAGGAAATCTCTTCCTGTGCACTTTACAGCCTTGGAAGGTCTGCTGGCGGGTCAGCTATGGTCTGCTTTGACTTGATGGCAGTGAGTTCAGTTTTGATGTGCCACCTCAGTCATGAAGATAAACAGACCAGGTTTTCACCAAAGCTTTGCCACTGCTGCACGGGTGGTCTTAGGGATTTCACCTAGAAACATGGACAGTGCATACATGTTGTAATGCTTTGTGCAAATGTGAGTGAGCCCTAACAGCAATACTAATACAATATTAGTTCCATGTTCCTCCTCGTGCAGGGAGCCTTTCATACACTGTCACTGAATCCTGCAAGAACCCTTGTGGGACCATTACACACTCAGTTGCTCTTCACCATTGAATCAGAAATGACCCTTCAGTGGGTTTTCAAAGATTGTAAACTGTCCATCTTTTCCCCAAGGAAATGCCTGTCTTTTTCCTGAAGTGCAGCTTTTGTTGTTGTTAGGTGTCATCAAGTTGCTTGTGACTCATAGCGAGCCTGTGTATAACAGTTCTGAACCCTGCTCTCTCCTGAGCCAACCTCATTGTCTCTTACAGTCCTACCCCCATGAACCCAGTCACTGAGTCAATCCATCTCATTGAGGATCTTCCTTTCTTACACTGTCCCTCAACCCTTCCTAGCAAGATACCACTCTCCAAGGACTGATTCCTTCTGGCAATGTGCCAAAAGTATGTGAGACAGAGCTCCAAAATCCTTACCTCCAAGGAGCAGTCTGGTTTCACCCTCTCTAGGGCAGACCTGTTTATTCTCCTAGCAATCCATGATATCTTCAGTACTCTTCTGCAGCACCATAGCTCAAAAATACCAGTTCTCCTATCATCCTTAGTCATTGTCTATCTCACTGATACATGGTAAGCAATTACAAAGACTATGGATTAGATCAAGTACACCTTACTCTCTAAACTGACTTTGTTGCTCTTCAGTACTCTCGAGATCATGATGTTGCCAGTTGGCCCAGTGATGAGAATATTTGTTTTCCTGATGTTGAGCTTCAAAAGCAGCTAGTGTAGTCCAGTCACTTGCCTTTGGGTTGGCAGCACAACAGCTTACCCACTATTGTTGTTGTTGTTGTGTGCTGTTGAGTCAGAAATTACTCACAGCCGTTGAAAAACAAGGAACTCTTGAAATATTATTCAAAATGGGTGACCCTGGAGGACATTATACTGAAATATCTCGGTCACAAAAGGACAAATATTGCATAGGGCCACTGTTGTAAAATGGACTGACATCACAGTTGAGAGAAGATAGAGAGGGGGAGGAATGAATGATGTATATTGTATTGAAATAAATGGGGAAGAGAACTGTTTAAAAGGGATATATGAATGGGTATTCTTGTCTTTACAGAATTCCAGAGTGAAGGCTGCACAGTGGAGAGAACTTGGGGGGAGGGATTGCATAACAGTGAAAGAGTTTTACTTTTCAAGAAGAGTGACTTGGGGGGAGGGAGTGAGGAGGGAGAAAAGTGCAACAGTGAATGAATGGAAGCCCTAAGTCTCTGTAAACTTTCATTAAAATTAATAAAAATTTTTTAAAAAGAAAAAAAAAGAAAAGACAGATGGACCTCCAGTGGGTTTTTAGAAGCAGTTTAATTTCATGGGAGGAGATGGCCCATCTTTCTCCCACAGAGCAGCTAGTGGGTTCGAACCTTTGGATTGGCAGCACAATTCCTTACCATTAAGCCAACAGAGAGCTCTAGCGGCCTTGTGGTAAGAACCTGCACTGCAATGCCAGATGCAGCTGGTTTGAATCCGCTGGCTGTTCCATAGGAGAAGGATGGGCAGTCTCCTTCCGTATGATTAATTGCCTCTGAAAACCCACTGGAACATTAGCTATGGGTCAGTTTCCATTCGACAATACTCAACAACAAGAAGCCACCAGCATTCCTCCCTTGCCCACGGTTGCTGTGTGCTGTTGAGTCAGAACCGAACTTCCAGTGGGTTTTCAGAGTCAATTTAATCTCCCAAGAGGACATTGCCCGTCTTTCTCTCTGCTGGTGGATTCAAACCATGTGCCTTTGGGATGGCAACACAGTTCCTTACCACTGCCTAGCTCCCTCCTTGCCCAGTGTTGTTGAGTACTGCTGAGGCAGAACCGACCCATAGCTGACCCTGCAGTGGGTTTTCAGAGGCAGTTAATCGAACAGTACAAAATTGCCCCTTTATCCTGCGTCCAGTTTTATTGTGGGAGAGAATGAAGGTGCAGAGAAGCACATGGCCAGTAGGTGGCAGAGCTTCTCCTCCCACAAATTTATGGCTTCGCAGTCTGGCTGCTCTCAAACAGCTATTACCATATTTGCAGCTGAGGAAACTCAAATCTTATCCAAGGCCCCACAGACAAGAAGTACCAAACAGGGCTGGCACGCAGGCCCCATTCCACCCCACCCCACTGGGCCTCTCATACTAGGATGCAGAGGCTGTCCTGGAACAGGCGTGGGCTTTCTGAGAAGAGAAATGCCTGCTCAGCTTTCCTCAGGGTCAACAACAATGGAGTGGAGGGCAGTGGAAAGGACGGATCCTGGGAGTCAGCACTCTCGTCAGGGAGGGCCAGCATGTGGGGCCTCTTCCGGCGCCTGCCTGTGCCAGGCATCACTAGTCGACTTGGAAGAGGCACCCAACCCAACAGTGTCAACTGCTGATTCATGTTTGCATCTTGGAATACAACATCAATTAAATATAGAGTGCCTAGGGAGCTACGGTGGCCTGGTGGTAAGGAATTATGCTACCAATCCACAGGCAAGTGGTTCAAATCCACCCGCTCCTCCATGGGAGAAGGATGGCCAGTCTCCTGTGTGATTTATAGCCTCTGAAACCCAGTGGAGGGTCAGCTATGAATCAGTTCAGACTCAATGGCACATAACAAAACAACAGTGATGACAACTCTAATAATTATGTGGACCAAGGACTAGGCCATGAATTTTGAATGAGTTGTTGTTATAGGTCATTGAGTTGTCTGCGACCCATAACAACCCTATATACAACAGCTCTGAACCCTGCCCTGTCCCGAGCCAGTCTCACTAATTCTGACATACCTACCCAATTGCCCCAGTTACTATGTCAATCCATCTCATCTGGGATCTTCCTCTCCTGCGCTGTCCCTCCACCCTTCCAAGCAGGACCAGTCTCTCCTGGCCACGTGCCCAGAGTATATGAGATGGAGCTTCAGAATCTTAGCCTCCAAGGAGAAGCTAGGTTTCACTCTCTCCAAGACAGACCTATTTGTTATCTTGGCAGTTCATGGTATGTTCAAGACTCTTCTCCAGCACCACATCTCAAAAGCATCAATTCTTCTTCTATCATCCTTAGTCATTGTTAAGCCCTCTGATGCTTAGCAAGTAACTACGAAGACCTCATTAAATCCTGACAAAACTCCCTGTCCTTGAGGCCAGTCAGTCCTTGTCCTGTTTTGCAGGTGAGGACACTGAGATGCGGAAGAAGTAGCCAGATTGGATGAGTTCACTCAGGCATTCAGTGGTAGATGTAAACTGAGGGTGGTCTGGCCCAGCCCTGTACTTTCCCACCCTGGGTCCACCACCAGCTCTGCCTTGGAGAGGTTCCCATCACTGTTCTGTCTGGGCTGCGTTCTGTGACCCCACCACTGAGGAATCTCTTTCTCCTCTGCCTGTTGTCTCTGGGGTATTCTGAGTCCAGGCTCTGGTAACACAGTGCTGGTCTTATTCCTCAGGGACCTGCCAATGTGGCCACCACACCGAGGGCCTGTCCTGTGAGCGCTGCCTGCCAGGTTTCTATGGCAACCCCTTTGAAGGCCAAGCTGATGACTGCCAGCCCTGCCCATGCCCGGGACAGTCAGCCTGCACGACCATCCCACAGAGCGGGGAGGTGGTATGCACCCACTGTCCCCCAGGCCAGAGAGGTGAGTGACTGGAATCCAGAAACCTGCTCCAATGCCATGGGCTCCAGAAATAGAATCCTGTATAGGATGTGGCTAGACAAGATGGGCTTCAAGGAGCACTTGAGTCTGAAAGCTTTGGAGGGGAGAGGGGTGCCCTGCCGTGGGCTCCACGCGGAACTCGGGCTACTAAGCATAATCCAGGTGTGACATCTGGAATCAGGGACCTTGTGGGGACCTGAAAAATAAACTGTGGGCCTGAAGACCTCCCCACTGCCATGCCTTAGAAGCAGCTCATAGGTAAACTGGTAAAAATACCTGTGCTGGGGGCCCACCATGTAGAACCTGCGTTAGTAGCTTGAGATGAAACCCTGGAACTTGTGCCAAACAATCTTTCCAGGCTCTTTGAATCTACAGTCTAGGTAGAAAATCTCTGATTAAACGTTCAGCTTTTAAAAAATGTTCTCAGTTAATGTATGACACAGACAAGCCCTTCCTAAGCCTTGACCACGTCTCACTCCTGCCCCAAGGCTCAGGGTCAACCTGGGTGCCTTTTCCTTTTTTTGTGTCTGTGGCTACATCGGAATGGCCTGTCCAGTCAGTCCCACCTGATGCCCAGCCTCACAGGGGACCCTGTCTACCAGCAGCTTCTAGAAGTAGCACAGCCAGGAGTCGCCCCCACCAGCCTTGCTCTCCACCCTGCTGTTGTGCTGCCCCTCTGCTCACCACCACCAGCCCCTCCACCCTGTCCCTCCACACATAGCCTTCTCCTTCTTCAGGGCGCCGCTGTGAGAGCTGTGATGATGGCTTTTTTGGGGACCCACTGGGGCTCTCTGGGCGCCCTCAGCCTTGCCGCCGGTGCCAGTGCAATGGGAACATAGACCCCAATACCGTGGGCAACTGTGACCCCCTGTCTGGTCACTGCCTGCGCTGCCAGCACAATACAACTGGAGCCCACTGTGAGCTCTGTGACGAGGGCTTCTACGGCAGTGCCCTGGCCCCCCAGCCTACGGACAAGTGTGTGCGTGAGTATGACCCGCCTCAGGCCTGCAGACAAGTGTGCGTGTGAGGACCACGCCTTACAGAACCCCTTAGGGTACCCCCTGCCTGAGGCCACAGGATGGCTGGGACATGTCATGTTGGGTCCTTTCTCCTCTGCCCTGGCTCTGAGTCCAGAGTGAACCCTCCAAAAGACTGTACAACCTCAGCCAGGTCACTTACCTTCTCTGTGTCCAGGTCAAGGAAGTGTAAACCTTTGCCCTTCTCCACGATCTCTTTTAACCTTCAAATCTTATAAAGTGTGATCTTGTGCCATTTCTTCCCCCACCTTGATAGTGACCACTTATCTCCTAATCCACAGCTAACTCCTAAGATTGTCCCAGGCAGAGGATCTTCTCAGAGCTGGTCCTCTGATCCCCTGGGATTTTCATCAAACTGCACCCTACTCTTCAGGACACCCTTCTTGCCCCACTTCTGGTTTACTGCTCACCTCTCCACCCCCTCGCAAAGCCATGACACCCCTCAGCCTCTGGAAAGCCCTCCAGAACCCTGCAGGACAGACAGCCTTTGCCCCTTGAGCCCTTTTCCACAAATCATCACTGACCCCTTGTTTTATGGAATCCCTTCCACTGCTGCTCTTGGGCTACTGACCCAAAGTGATGGCTGTAAAAGGTCTACCTGTGACCCACAACCGAGCTCAGGCCGAGAGTGAGGCTCGACCTGGAGCAGCTAGCCCTCCCTCCTGCCTGTGAGGGCTTGGAAGGAAGGGCCTTTGGTGGCCACAAGAATTCTAAACCATCTCTTCAAAGACATAGTAAATGCCTGAGATATGAGCTTAGTGGGAGGACTTTTTGAGGATCTCCCAGCCTCAATGGCCCCTCAAACGTTCTGTTGCTCTGCCTTGTGCCTCCTCAGCCTGTAGCTGCAGCCCAGGGGGCTCAGTCAGCGAGCAGATCCCCTGTGACCCGGTGACCGGCCAGTGCTCTTGCCTGCCTCACGTGACCGGACGGGACTGTAGCTTCTGCAGCCCTGGCTTCTATGACCTTCAGCCTGGCAGGGGCTGCCAGAGGTAGGTGGGGTGAGGCTGTAGGCTCCTCTCCTCCTAAGTATCTGCTGGGCTGAAAGAAGGAGTCAGGTAGCCTCCAGGGAGAGGCCTGACGTGGAACACATCATCCCAGGCTCACTGCCAGGTACACAGTGCCCTTCACAAAGGGGACATAGGAACAGTCCCTTGGGGTCAGACTCAAGACCCTGCCAGCCCAGGCCTTGGGCCAAGAGCAGCCCTAAGGGATGTGCGGGTTGAAGAGGTGGCCAGTTTAGCCTCTGATTCCCTTGTCGGTGACAGTCGTCACTGGGCAGCTGACTTCCCGACCACAGACGTTGTCTTTAGGGGACACTGGAGAACTGACTCCAGGTGAGACAAAGAGCCCTTGCAGGACTTCACAGAGCCTTGAGGGCTCATTCCACAGTGATTCTCTAAGACATACTCATCCACGAAGCCTTTATTTTCCAACATCTTCTGTTCCCCAGGGCACAGGTTGGAGAGAGTCACTGCACATCCACTATCATCAAATGGCACCTGCTCAGAGACAGAGCATGAGAGAAGTTCCTTCTCTGTCTCAGCTTGTGCACAATCTTAATAAAGCCATGGCTTCTGCTCTTAAAAATCAAATGGTCAGCCAGTGGCTGAGGGCTTTGTGGTCGGTGTAAGATCCAGGTCCCCAGGCTGGGCTGGGAGGCAGATAAGAGCTCTCCTCAGACCCAGGTTCTGTCCCTTCTCACAGCTGCAAATGTCACCCACTGGGCTCCCTGGAGGACCAGTGTCACCCCAAGACCGGGCAGTGCCCCTGCCGCCCGGGCATCGGCGGCCTGGCCTGCGACAGGTGCCAGCACGGTTTCTTTGGCTTCTCAGCCAAGGGCTGCCGAGGTGAGGAGTGGGGTCATTCCTGGCCTGTTCTTGCTGCAGAGAGGAGGAGGGAGCAGCAGGGAGGCCAGGTGCGTGGGTCGCTGGACAGATGAGTGAGGGGGTGAGAACTGTGCAGCAAGAGAGAGGAAGGTTAAACTCTGCGAGAGGTGCTTGAGAACAGCCATGGGCACCTGGAGAGAGTGAGGCTCGAGTGTGGGAAGGCCGTGTGTCCTCAGAGTGGCTTGGGTCCCCTTCCAAGCTGCTGTTGCCCATGAAGGGCCCAGAAATCTGTACTTGATGCTTCCTGGGATTGGGATCCTGGGAGCAGCCAAGGGTGAGGATTTCGAGGAGCAATGTAGAAGATGAAAAGGTCCCCTGGGGCACTGGCTGGACCTCTTGAGAGCCCAGGGTACCCGTGCCTTCTGCCCTGGCCCCCACAGCCTGCAAGTGCTCCCCGCTGGGCGCTGCCTCCGCCCAGTGTCACGAGAACAGCACCTGTGTGTGCAGGCCCGGCTTTGTGGGCTACAAGTGTGACCGCTGTCAAGACAATTTCTTCTCCACGGCCGACGGCTCACACTGCCAGGAGTGCCCCCCCTGCTACGGCCTCGTGAAGGAGCAGGTGAGCCCCATGCCTGCCCTTGCCCGCAGCCCAGTCTCACCTTCCTGCTCACCCACATGCCATGATGGAGTCCCCTGCAGCCCCAGTCCACTCCACCTCCTCAGCCCAGCTCGACCCTGGGCAGACAGGAGGAAGGTAGCTCTGTGTGCATGCCAGCTCCAGCAGTGCGACCAGGTGTCCCTCTTTCTTAGGTCCAGTGGGAATGTGATCCTGGGTAACTCCTCTGCAGGGAGAATTGGGAAGAAGACACAAGTCTAATCAGTCTGAGCACAAGCAGAATGTACAGCAGGGGAGGGGTGTGGTGCAGGTTTGGGGGTGCCAGCTCCAGGACACACTTCCCCCTCCAGCCTGGTTAGTTGGTAGGTGACAGCGTTAGGAAGCCTCAGCATGGCCATCCTGCTCCAAAACAGAGCTGCTGAGAGAACCTGAAGTCAGAGGGCTGCTCTGCTCAGCAGTCATGGGCATGGTAATGCGCCACGCTGGCTCTTCGTCAAATCACTGTAGCTGTTGAGTCAGAATCGACCCACAGCTGACCCTCCAGAGAGCTTTCCAAGGCTGTAAACGGCATGTGAAGAGATTGCCTGTCTTTCTCCCAATGGGCAGAATGAGAAAATAGTGTCTGCAGAATACTAAGGAAACCTTGGATTAGCCAGGGTTCTCTGGAGAAACAGAACCATCAGAATCTATAAAACCAACCATATATGTTGTTGTTGTTGTTGTTGTTGTGTGCTGATGAGTCAGAACCGACTATCAGCCACCATGGTGATGCTGTGGTTAAATGCTTATCTGCCAACCAAGAGGCTAGGGGTTCAAACCCACTAATATTTTGCCAGAGGAAGCAGTCTGCTTTCATACAGATAGCATGTTGAAAATCCTACAGGGCAATTTTACTCTATCCTCCAACTCAATGGCAATGGATTGTACACTTAATGATGTCAACGCAAACGCATACATGCACGTGTGTGTGTGTGTGTGTGTGTGTGTGTGTGTGTGTGTGTGTGTCTATGTGAAACAATTCATTGCCGTCAAGTGGAAACTGACTCATAGCTGACCCTCCCCGCGGATTTTCAGAGCTTATAAATTGCACACAGGTGACTGTCCATGTTTCTCTCACAGAGCAACTGGTGGAATTGAACTGCTTGTCTTGATGGAATTGGGTTGGCAGTTCAACTCCTTACCCACTCAGCCACCAGAGCTCTGCATGCGTGTGTATGTGTGGTGGTGGTGTTGTGTACAGTCAGGTCGGAACCAACCCATAGCTGACCCTCTGGCAGATTTTCAGAGGCAGTTAATCTCATGGGAAGAGATTGTCCATCCTCCTGTGCAGCAGCTAGTGGATTTGACCCATGTGCCTTTGGCATTGCAGTGCAGCTTCTTGCTATTAGGCCACCAGAAGCTATGTGTGTGTGTGTGTGTGTGTGTGTGTGTGTGTGTGCGCGTGCGTGCACACGTGTGCGCCTATGGTCATGTGTATAGAGAAAGACTTATAACAAGCAAAACTGTCCACTTCATCTCACTTAGATCCTCAATCACAACACATGGTACCAGCAGACAGGACTTTAGGAGACATATTGCCCTGGGACTTCTGCAGTCAGGGACCTCTCCAAATATTGAGGAACAGTGATGCCAGTTTGAAGATGAATGTTCTCGTGGTTCAGGCCATGGTCTTTTCAATCACTTGCTATGCATCTGAAAGCTGGACAGTGAATAAGGATGACAGAAGAAGAATTGATGCCTTTGATATGGTGTTGAAGGTGCTGGATAGCCCATGGACTGCCAAAAGAACAGACATGTCTTGGTGAAGGTGCAGCCAGAGTGCTCTTTAGAGGCGAGATGATAAAGCTTCATTTCACATACTTGGGGTGTGTTGCTAAGAGAGGCTATTCCTTGGAGAGGGGAAAGCAGAGGGTCAGAGGAAGCGAGGAAGACCCTCAACCAGGTGGACTGACAGTGACTTGGGGTCTCACACATGTTAGAGATTATGAGGACAGGACAGGGTTCAAATCTGTTGGTCACAGGATCACTATGAATCATACTAAAATGGACAGTACTTAACAACAGTTGAAATAAATGCAATAAACTCAATAACTGCTGTTGTTGTTAATTGCCATTGAGTTATAGGCAACTCATAGTGACCCTATGAACCAAAGACCTGAGCACTTGTATATCTTTCATCCTTTCTCAAGGTTCATAGGGTTTTCAGAGGCAAGCCATTTTGGAAGTGGATGCCACTCCTGCTTCCAAGCTTCTTTTAATTGGGGAGCTCCTCCAAACACTGTCCACCATGAGTAACTATTATCACATTTGTTACATCAGTGTCACAGTGTTTGGTTTCACAGAAACCACGAGTTACCCCTGTACAGCAAGTGGACAGATCAGTGCTATATGACCTAGAAGAATGTAGTAATCTGTTTTAATCTGGGTTTATATATATACACACTGAATAAGATAGACCAGGGAAAAGGATTGGCTGTCAATTTGTGAAATAACAGGTCTTGAGAGAACACTATGAACAATAGAACATGTTTAGACTATGATATATAGCACTGAAGACGGTGAGTTTGGCTCAGGATAGGACAAGTTTCCGAGCTGTTGTTCTTAGGGTCACTATGAGTCGTAGATGACTCGATGGCACGTAACAACAATAAAACACAGAGAGAGAGAGAGATTAGAGAGAGAAACTAATATATTTTTAAGGAACTTATTTCAATAGTTGTGAGTAAGAAGGCTGGCAAGTGACAAATCTATTGAGTTAAACGACAGGCTAGAAACACTAGCAAGATATCTGTAGTTTCTAGTGCTGCAGCAACAGAAATACCACAACTGGGTGCCTTTAAAGAACAGAAGTCTAGTTCTCACAGTTCTGGATGCTAAATGTTCAAATGAGGGTCTCGGCTGTGCCGATTCCTTCTGTGGGCCTCCTCGCTGGTGTCTAGTGACCGCTGCTGACCGTTGGCATTCCTCCGCTTATAGATAAGTCCTCCTATGGTGCCAGTCTTCATTGTCCAACCTTCAACGGATGGCATGAAGCCTGTCTATATATTAGCAAGGGCAGTCTTCTTTACTTAGATCACCTGACTGTAAGTGTTAATCACTTCTACAGTCTACCTTCACAACAACATCTAGAAGGCTATTTAATCAAACAACTTGGCACAGCAATCTAGGCAAGCTGGCACATAAAATTCACCTCATACTTCCAGCACAGTCTCCCCATAGCCAAACCCATCGGTATCACTGCAGGGATACATGAATATTCACATGAAGAGGGTAAATAAAGACCACAAATAGCCTTTTTCAGATTTTACTTCTACATGAGTTGAGACCTGGCTGGCATGTTGCTAGCTCATAAAAGAGACAGTCATTAAGTTTTCAAAACATTTTCAACTTTAGAGCTGAGGTGAGGACTCGGGAACTGCCGACTCTGCCACTTAGGGTTGGCGAAAGAGGGCAGATATTTATTTGCCCCATGACTGGCTCTAGGTCAAGTCAAGTCAATGCCATGGGTTCAGAACCCAGCCAAAGCTGACCCTCTAGTGAGTTTTCAGAGGCTGCAAATGGCATGTGAGGAGATGGCCCATCTTACCCTCAAGGAGCAGCTGGTGAGTTTGAACTGTTTGCCTTTAGGTTGGCAGCACAACTCCTTACCCACTAGACCCTCAGAGTTCCCGTGGCTTTTCATAGCCCACAACCCCTCTTATGTATTAAGAGAATGAAGCTGTGTTATAAAGCACGCCCTCAGCCAGCAAGTGTCCACTTAGCACCTGATGGGTGCCTGGCATTAGAAGGACACTAAGAGCGCAGACAGAAAAACTGGGAGCCTCTGTTCCTATCACCCCCTTGCACCGCCCCCACTCCCCCCACTCCCCAGTAAGACAAAGGTATGGATGGCCAAATGTCAGCGGGTGCCCTGAGCATGAGAAGGGAATAGCCAGTGAGGACAGGAGTGCAGGCACTGTTTTCAGAGGGCTGGTGTTTTGAAGTGTAGGGTAGGATTTGGAGAGAGAAGTCCTAGGAGAGCAGGCCAGGCAGAGCTGGTGGGATGTCCAGGCAGGACCTCCAGCCCCCTGGCCTCACACATCCTTCCTTTCCTGTCTGCTCCAGGCTGCCAAGCTGAAGGCCAGGCTTATCCTGATGGAAGGGTGGCTGCAGGGGTCTGGCTGCGGCACTCCCTGGGGACCACTGGATGTTCTGCAGGGAGAGGCCCCACGAGGAGATATTTACCAGGGCTTCCATCCATTGCAAGGTATGGCAGGAGGGTGACGAGAAATAAACTAGGAGAAAAGGGGAAGGGTTAGCTGGTCTGGCACCTCCAGAGGACTCTTCGGTCTCCTGCCCAGATGCCTGAGAACCCTGGGCTCCTTTGATGGCCCAGTAGGAGAATTGGTTTACCTGAGAAGCTGGCCTACCTCCCTGGCTAGTGGGCAGTAACACAGTCCTGTCTCACTATGGACCTTTCCCTCATGCCCCTAGCCCAGTTATACTTGCAGTTTTGTGACTTCCAGTCTTTGACTATAACACCACCCCCCCATGCCTTTCTGCTCTAACCATGGTGCACTCCCAGTGAGGCCAAGAGCTGGGTCCACCACATGGTTGTGAAGGCTCTGTCCCAGGTGCTGAATAGCTGGCCTGAGGCCTTGAGCTTTAGCTTTTCTGCTCACTGCCATGTCCTCAGCTCATTACTTGGGGTATAGAAAATAGGGGAGCTCTGGTGGCCTAATGGATAGGAAGTTGTGCTGCAAATCCAAAGATGCATAGTTTAAATACGCTAGCAGCCCCATGGGAGAAAGATGGATTCTCTTCTCCCGGGTGATTTGCAGCCTCTAAAACCCCACTGGAGGGTCAGCTATGAGTTGGTTCTGATTCAACCACAATGAGTGAGTAAGAGAGTGAAGTAATAAAAAAAAGGAAAGAGAATCATAACTAAAGCCAAGTGGCTGGAATTTTGCCCTGGGGCCATTGAAATGTAGAGGTTTGCGAAAGTGGATGGATTCTTTTGTGAAATGTTACATGGTAAGCACCTGTACTCCTTCAGCAGCTGGTCACTGAGCACCTGTTAGCAGGAATACTTACCAAACAGAGGAGTATTGGATGCAACTTCTCTCAGATGCCCAGAAGTAAACACTCCAAATTACCAAAACCAACTGGAGGCAGAGTTTTCTTGCTGCCCGAGATTCAAGAATTGTTTGTGTTACCCTCCAAGGTCCATGTTCCTTCTGGTCCCTGTTTGTGGCTGGTTCACTTCAGGACCTGGAGATTCTTGCCTTCTTGAGGCCTCAGGCTCTGTGTCTGTAAAATGGGAAGGCTTTGGCTTTGGCAGCCACAGTGCTCATGGCTGTGATGGGGTTAAATCCAAAAGGCTGGTGGGCAAACAGGGTATTCCTGACATGGGGCTTTGGTGTGAAAACTGGACCACTGTAGTCTCTGGACTGTGGCTTTTTGCAGGGTTCCAGGAAGCATTCCTGGAACAGATGACGGGCCTCGAAGGTTCTGTGAAGGCCGCCTGGGAGCAGCTGTGGGTACTGAGCCAGAGTGCCCACTGTGCCCAGGCCAGAGCCGAGAAGTCCTGTATCCAACTGGCCGACCTCATGGAGGTGCTAGAGTCCACGGAGGAGGAGCTTCTGCATGCAGCCTCCCTTCTCTCATCTCTGGTACCTGGTGTCCCCTACCCCCCAACCCTCACCACTGAGCTTAGCCAATGGAAACAACTCAGGACAGAGAGGTGGGGGCTAGATCCTTGGCCCAGCCCTGCTGCTGACCTTGGGCATAGTCTCCCCTTGCCTTTCTTCCTCATCTGCAAAGTGGGGATTACACAATGACTCATCCTGTGTTGCTTCAAGGAGGTAACCTTTGTACAGAATGGGGCTCAGTGTATGGGATGCAGTACTAGGACCCTGCTCACTGGAAGCTGCCTTTGTGGCTCTGTGCATTTATAAAAGAACTAATGTTTGGGGTTTGGCCCAGAGTCTTTCAGGGATGATCCATCAGTCTCTCTCTTTGAGAGATTGAGATTGATTGATGATCAATCATTCTCTCTCTTCCCCCCGCCCCTTTTTCTTCTCTAAAGGTGATTCCTCAGGAAAGGTCCAGCCAATCCACAAACTGGAGCCAGCTGGCCACAGAGACACGAGTGTTAGCCAGGAGGTGAGCTCATAGCCCTAGGCAATGGGTGGGGGGGCCTCACCCATGTAATCTTTCAGAGACCCAGAGCTCTTCTGGAGGGGGTGTTTCCTGGGACAGGATCAATCTACATGTGTGTGTCCCCCCCCCCCGCCCCATTCCCCAGTAGTTGGAATAGGATATATAGAAGAGCTTCCGGGAAGGGGAAAATGTCCTCAGTCATGGAAAGGAGAGGTGGGGTGGGGGTAGGGGAGTGGACAGTGTGAGCTCAGAGCCTTAGGGTGGGGAGCGAGCCTAACTGACTGCCTTCTTTTTAAAAAAATAATGGTTTTATTGTGATAGAACTAATGTATCATATAATTAGCCCATTTAAATGATATAATCCAATAGCTTTTATATATACTCAGAGTTATACAACCATCAGAGGTTTGTATTTTATTACCTTAGAAGAAATTCCATTCTCATTAGTAATAACTTCCGTTTTACCTCATCCCCCTGCCTAGCAGCCCTGTTATTCTTGTTAGGTGCTGTCAGAGGCTGTAGATGACGCAGGAGGAGATGGCCCATCCTTCTCCCGAGGAGCAGCTGGGGGATTCCAGCAGAATGCCTCTGGGTTGGCAGTGTAGCTCCTTACCAGGCCACCAGAGCTCCCTCCAGCAGCCCTTGGCAAACCATTATCCACTGTCTCGGGATTTACCCATCCTGAACACCCCATATGAATGGAATCATGCAGCAAGTGGCCTCTTGTGCCTCGCTTCTTCCACTTACCATGTTTACAGGGTTCAGTCATGTTACAGCAGGAGAAACAACTTTATTCCTCTTTATGACCAAATAATAGTCCATGGCGTGCATAGTACATTTTGTTTATCTATTTGTTTATCTATACAAGTTACTTCACTCACTACTTTTTAAAAAGCAGCTCCAGGCACTAAAATCACAATGTCTGCAGCTGTTGTCCCCTTTATGTTAGGACGTTAGATTCATTTAAATCTTAGATTTATGAGGAAGCAGGCTCAGAGAATTTAGATTACTTGCTCAAGGACACACAGCTTGGAAATGATAGAACCAGAATTCAAACCCAGGCTATCATAACCACTCACTATTTTGTCTTATCTTTATCGTTGTTGCTATGTGCCACAGTAGAGTTGCTTATGACTCATAGTGACCTTATGTACAACAGCCCTGAAACCTGCTCTATCCTCGGCCAATCTTATTGTCTCTGACACACTTTCCCCCATTACCCCAGTCACTGAATCAATCCATCTCATTGAGGATCTTCCTCTCTTGAGCTGTCCCTACACCCTCCCAAGCATGATTTTCCCTCTCCAAGGACTGGTCCCTCCTTGCAACATGCCCAAAATATGTCAGACAAAGCCTCAGAATCCTTGCCTCCAAGGAGCAGCCTGGTTTCATGCTTTCCAGGATGAGTCTGTTCGTTCTCCTAGTAGTCCATGGTATATTCAACACTCTTCTCCAGCACCACAGCTCAAAGGCATCAAATCTTCTATCATCCCTAGTCATTGTCCAGCTTTCTGACATATAGCAAGTAATTGCTAAGACTATCTTCATAATTGATTGTACAAACTGGTGCAATTTTACATGTGAGAAGGTCTCTTAATCATTACACCAGGACAAAGGCATGCATTACATGAAGAGAGCATGTTCCCACACACGTCTTTTGCCTTCCCCTCATGCTTCCCCTGTGTGCAGAGAGGTAGAGATGGAGGATTCCCAGGCCTTTACTTAAATTGGGTTGACAAGAGGTCAATGCAGACTGGGGTTGGGCCCAGCCCTCCTGCTGTGTGAGTTCTAGTGACAGTCAGGTGGATATGTCCACACAGCCACTGGGACACGGCTGCCAAGGTCGAAGCTACTGCTCGGAGGGCGCTGCTCTCCTCCAACGCCAGTTACACACTGCTCTGGAGTCTGGTGGAGGGGAACGTGGCCATGGCGGCCCAGCGGGAGCTGGAGGACAGGTGAGACCTCCCTAGGTGGGTACAGAATCTGGAGACCAGCCTCCTGGTGACAGGGCCTGGCCAGAGGCTGCTGGTTCCAGAACCACTTCCTTCCCTCCACACTGACGCTTTTGACACTTGGGCAGGATGTCTGAGGCTGCTTCCTACTTAGGGGGAAACACAGGGTCTCGGACCTCCTTGGTGGTGAGTGACAGGAGCCCTTTCATGAATGGATGATGCAGTTCAGCTTCTGGAGAGATGAGACAAGAATTTTACCAGGAAGGCCCAGGGCAGTGAGCCCCTATTTTTCCCTTGCTGCATTCCCTAAGTCTCATCTGAGTTCAGGGCAAGCTGAGTCTTCTGTCAACTTCCTGTATCACCAGTTTCACTCTTTTCTGCCTTGAGTGACCCCACATAGCCTTTGTTAATTCTAAGTCAACTGACCAATGTCTCTGAGTAGATATTCCTGAGAATCTGATTAGTCCAACTCAGATCAGTTGTTCAGCCCTAAGTCAATCAGTTTGGCTGGGCTGAGGTTACAAAAGTTACTACAAAGGCAGTAGTCTCTAGGAAGGAGTGAAATGGAAAGGAATTGAGGTTTCTTTACCCAAGTTATACTGATGGTGAAGGGAGGAGAGCTGGGTGTGAGAACCTGGGCAGAAAAGGAAACTTGTTCTAGGTGGTAGATTTCCAAACTCCAGCCCATCATGGCTAGAGGAACCCCTTAAGGTCACCCTGTGTCTCTATTTACAAGTAGAGAGTAGTATACTCAAAGTCAAAGCCCAGTCAAGATCACATAGCCCCTCCCTGGCCCATTGTTCTCATGGTTCATCCAGAAGAGCCAACAGTTTACGAAATGTGTGATTTCAAGTGGAAGAGAAACATGAAAGGTTTCAGAATGGTGTGATTGAATTGAATGACTGGAGAGTGGCCCTGCTCTGCCTCTCACATTCATTTGAAGGCTGCAGAGTGGTCACCCGTTGCTGGCTACAGACCCTGTAGAGGGACTCTGCTTGGAGGGACTTTCAACCATGGGCTGCAGGGGAGGAATGGCCCTGTGCCCTGCTCTGTGGGCCAACCTGGTTCTCTCCTCCAGGTACCAGGAGGTTCAGGCAGCACAGAAGGCACTGGGCACAGCTGTACTCAAGGCACAGCCTGAAGTCGAGTTGGTGCTGACCTCCATGCAGCAAGTTGGCACAGATGGAGCCCTGAGCTTGGCCTCAGTGTCTGCCCTCAGGACACAGGTCAGCCTGTCCACTGGGAGCCCTGCCTGGGCATGGGGTGGTGGTCTGGCAGCTGGAGAAGCTGGTGGGTTCCAGTCAGAGGCAGATAATTGAGTTCATCATTATTTTTTTAACTTGATTTAAAAAAAAAAAGAACAGATTCAGGTTTTTAGAAAGATAGTTTCTAGAGAGTTCCCGCATGCCCTCTCCCTCATACACACATTATTAACATCTTACTAGTATGGGTGTACCTAATTCGTTACCACTGATGAATTCTTAGTGATACATCATTATTAACTAAAGTCTACAATCCACATTAGGGAGCCACAGTGGGGTGGTATGTGTTGGGCTACTGCTTACGTAAGGTTGGTGGTTCAATCCTACCAGCCTTTCCTCAGGAGAAGGATGGGCAGTTTCCTCCCTAAAAAGATGAATAGATTTGGAACCCCAATAGAGGGTCAGCTATGAGTGGGACTCAGTCGGACAGCAGTGGGTTTGGTTTTTGGTTGTATTGTCTGTCTTAGAGTTTGCTCTGGATGGCACAGTTCTGTGGACTTTGATAATGTCATGTGTCCAGCATTACAATCAGACAGAACCGCTTTACTGCCATAAAAATGCTCTGAGCTCTACGGTTCATCATCCTTACCCCCACCTCAAACCTCTGATCTGTTGACTGTATCTGTACATGGCTTATTTTAATGGCTGGAACCCTGGAGGTGAAGTCTGTAAGTAGTTGCACACTACGAACCCTAAGACCACGCCTCCCTGACTGTTTGATCTTGCTTTTCTAATTTCCAGAAAATTCTGAATTTGGAGGTACACCTGGCCCCCCAAGTTTCCAGCTAAGGGATATTATTAGGCCTGGGCACAGTCTTGCAGAGAGGAAACTATAACTCTGGAGGTTTACCTGGTTCCCCAGAGCCACAGAGCAGAAATTGGTTGGGCCTGGAATTTGAGTCAAAAGAGACTGGCTCTCTTGCTCGCTACACCTCTGCCTCCCATGTCTACTCGCAGTCCTCCTCTCCAGTTCCTCTGTCCCTGGTGTTGCCCATGTATCTGGGGGTTTTCAGGGAAGAGATGGCTGAGGCTCTTGTTTGAGAATCTTCCCTGTGGTTCTTCTCTTGAGGCCCTCCCTGAGCCTAGTCCTGTCCCCTTGCAGCTCCAGAAGCCGCTGGCCCAAGACCTGAGCCTGAAGGTGCAGACCCTGGAGAAGACAGTCGCAGTCAGAGAGCAGGTGGCTACCAAAGCTGTCCAAGACCTCCAGGCCACAGCCCAGGAGGCGCTGCAGAAGATGGAGCCCCTCACACAGGTAGGAAGCAGGGTCCTGAGGGTGGACAGGGCACAGCAGGTGACCAGCTGATTGTGGGCAGAGCCAAGAAAGGAAGTAGCACCTCCCCAGTGCCGCCCTCAAGATCCATAGGAAGTGTGAGCCCACCACAGCCAAGGCAGGAGTAGAAGTGTGAGAAAAGGGTTGATGAGGAATCACAGATAGATAATAACACTAGAAGCAAACCCTTACTCAGTGTCTTATTCACAGTGACTTGGTAAGAAAGGAGTTGCTTTGTGAACCCAAAGACAGGAAGTTTGAATCTACCAGCTACTCTGAAGAAGAAAGATGAGGAATCTCCTTCTGTGTGATTTATAGTCTCTGAAAACCCACTGAAGTGTCAGCTGTAAGTTAGTTCCAACTCAAAGGCAATGAGAAATAATAATGATAATATTTACCTGGTCAACTGACTGTAAGAGAACCATATTTGTTCCCATTTCCTAAAATAATGTGATCCAACAGAATGCCAACATTACCAAACAAGATCACATGCAAGCAAAATATTGCATAAGATTAGTAAATGGCTAGAGCAGTACATTAACATTAACTTGCCAGAAAAGAAAATTGGATTTAGAAGCGGCTATGACACCAGAAATTATCATTGCTGATGTCAGATGGATCCTGGCTGAAAATAGAGAACACCAGAAGAATGTCTATTTGTGTTCTACTTACTGTGCAAAGACATTTAATTGTGTGGATCATAACAAATTATAGCTAACACAAAGAAGCATGGAGATCCCAGAACACTTAATTGTGTTCATGCAAAACCTATACCTAGACCAAGAGGTGTTGTCAGAACACAGAGAGGGAACACTGAGTGGTTTAAAATCAAGAAAGCTGTACCTCAGGGTTGTATCCTTTCTCCATACCGATTTAATCTGTATGCTGACCAATCATTCAAGAAGTTGAGCTTTATGAAGAAGAATGTGTCATCAAGATCAGAGGAAGACTCATTGTTGTGGTGAGGTGCTGTTGAGTTAAGAATGTCTCATAGAGACCCTGTGAACAGATCTGAACCCTGTCCTATCCTGTGCCATTGTCACACTTTCTGATACACTAGATCCCATTGCAATAGTCACTGTATCATCAATCACCTGTTCAAGGATTTTCTTCATCATTCGAAGCCTCCAAAAAGCACTCTGGCTGAACCCTTTCCAAGACATGTGTGTTTGTTCTTTTGACCATCCATGGAATGTTCAGTGCTCTGAATGTTCTTTTTCTGAGAAGACTAATTAATAACCTGCATTGTGTAAATGACACAACCTAGCTTACTGAAAGTGAGGAAGACTTCAATATGGATTCTATCTCAACATCAAGAGAACAAAAGGCCCCACCACTCTGTCAATAGACAAGATCATGATATATGGAGGAAGGATTGAAATTGTCAATTATTTCATCTTACTTGGATCAGCTTGGTAGCAGCGATCAGGAGATTAGAAGACATATTGGGCAAGTCAGCTGTCAAGGACCTTTCCAAAATACTGAAGCACAGTGATATCACTTTGAAGACTACTGTGCCTGTGATCAAAGCCATGGTGTTCTCAATTACTTGCTATACTTCTGAAAGTTAGATGATGAATAAGGATGACAGAAGAAGAATCTATGCCTTTGAGTTGTGGTGCTGAAGAAGAGTGCTGAAGAGCCCATATATTGTCAAAAAAAACAAATAGATCTTGGAGAAAGTGCAACCCGGGTGTTTCTTGGAGGCAAGTATGACAAAGCTTTGTCTCACGTACTTTGGGCATATTGTAAGGACAGACCAGTCCTTAGAGAGAGATACACAATGCAGGTTGTTAATGAGTCTTCTGTCAGAAAAAGAATGTTCAGAGCACTGAACATTCAATGGATGGTCAAAAGAACAAAGAAATATGTCTTAGAAATGATGCAGCCAGAATGCTTTTTGGAGAGAAGAATGATGAGGCTTTGAACGATGAGGAACCTGACAACAGTAACAAAACCCTCTGCACACAGAGTTTCCTCTATTAACATTTTGCATTGACATGAAACATCTACTAAAATTGATCAGTAATTATTAAGACATCATTATTCATTTTAGTCCACAATTTATTTGAGGGTCACTCTTTATGTTGTACAACTTTCTAACTTTTGATCAACACGTAATATCATGTGCTGATTATAATATCATGCAAATGCCCTGTGGTCCACCTGGTCATCCCCCTGACGTCCCAGAGCCCATGAAATCTATAACTCTATTCAGGTGACCCAGCGGTCAGGTTGTTACCAACCGTGAAGAAGTTGTTAGGAGTTGTGGACTCAAGTGTGACTAACAGTGACCCTATGAACAACAGATGTGAACCTGGCCCTCTCCTGTACCATCCTCACTATCTCTGTCATACCTGAGCCCTGTTACAGTAACTGTGCCAGTCTGTCTTTTTTTGGGGGGGTCTTCCTCTCTTTCTCTGACCCTCCATCTTTCCCAGCATGGCATATTTTTCTAAACGCTGGCCCCTTCTGACATGAGTAAGTTGTTATGTACCACTCAGTGGGAACTGACCCATAGCTGACTGTGCAGGGGATTTTCAGAGGCAGTAAATTACACAGGAGACTGCCCATTTTTCTCCCACAGAGCAGCTCATGGATTCGAACCATGTGCCTTCAGGTTGGCAGTGCAGCTCCTTACCACCAGTCCACCAGAGCTCACTTGACATGAGTAAGAGCAGGGTTCAATTGCTAGTCAGGCTTCAAGCTCAGTCACCAGTGTTTACATATGTGTCCGCTGTGATGATGTACAGATTTCAGCTGAGATTCCAAAATAGATGAGGAAGAAAGGTCTGCTGAACATCCACCCAATGCAAACAACATGATTTCTTTAAACCGTAAACCCAAAATACTCCCCTTCTCAGCCCAAACAACAGTTTGGTTTAGTTAGGAAGCAATGTTTACCTTGAGTGCTGAGCTATTTCCAAAACTATTTGTATAGGATCAAAATGGCAACAAAGACTTCGAAGATTAGATAGGAACCTTCAGGGTGGTGACAGTATATAAATGGAGAAGGGGCAGTTTGAGAAAGGAGAGTGATCAGACAACTTGACCAGTTTAATCTGCATCGCTGAACTGCACGTATGGAAATTACTGAATTGCTGTATTATGTCTTGCAGTGTGTTCTCAGCAACAACAAAAACTATAAAAATATTAAACAGAAAACCCCCTTGGGTCACAACAGTCCAGTCCCTCTCTGCACAGTTATCTTGAGTCAGGCCCTCACTGGATGGCAGCTAACAACAGATCTGTCTTTTCCAAAATGTCAAATAGCTGAAAGTTTGTAGCTTTTACAGAAGATTTCTGTCACTTAAAAACAGAAACAAAAGAAAAACCCTCAAACTCACTGCCACTGAGTCAGAACCAAGGCACAGTTGACCCTCTACTTAGTTTCCAGGACTATAAATTGCACGGGAGGAGGCTGCCCATCTTTCTCCCAGGAAGCCATGACCTTTGGGTTACAGGGGAGGCTGCCCGAGCGTCCTTCCTGTCACTTACCAACATACATTTAAGGTTCCTTCATATCTCTTTGCAGCTTGATAGTTCTCTCTCTCTCTTTTTTAAAAAATTCTTTTAAAATTTAAATTTTTTTTTTTAATTGGTGAATCTGGTAGTCGTTTTTACATTTTCCCTTTAAAGTTAGAAAATAAGGATAAACCTTCATATGAAGATTAGGAAAGATTATCTGTAGTTCCTGACACACACCCCTTCTCTGTGGACAGGGAGCCTTCATCCCCACAGCCGCTCCAAGACATGCAGCAGTCACGCCAGGATGCCAGGTGTGCAGATGCCTGCCTGTCCCGTGCTCCTGACCCTTCCATGATGGTCTCTTCCACCTTCCTCCCTGTCATCCTCCTGGCCCAGAGAGCTCAAGCTTGTGCTGACTCATCACTTGGCTGCAGTTCAGGCCTCTATTCTTTAAATAACTGTCATATCTTCACACAAATAGCATTCACCTTGCATTGTTTGTTTGCCAACTACTCCCCGCCCAGGTATTTCTGTATACGGCCAAGCTGGCAAACAAATGTAGAAAGCACATGGTATTTGCATAAGCATGTGGAAGTTTATACTAGTTTACAAGAGGCCGGAAGTTCAGGTGATGCACTTCCAAATACTCACCATTGAGAACCTGTGGAGCATAGCACTAGTCTGACCACAGGAGGCCACCAAGAGCTGGACTGGACTCCATGGTGACTGGTTTGATTTTCTCAGAAGGGGGAAGAAACATATTTTCTAAGAGTAAAAGTTGCACAACATACAGATTGACTGTTTTATGCCCACTGGCCAAAACATAAGCACATTCTGCAAATAAGTTTGCAGCTTCCAACTTTCCTTGGTCCTTGTGCACCAATTTTCTTCTGAGCTTTTCTGGGGCAGGTTAAGCTCTTTGAGAAATATTCCAGGGCCTAATATTTGTGGTTGTTGTTAGGTGCTCTTGAGTTAAGTATGACTCAGAGTGGAGTGACCCTATAAACAACAGATCTAACCCCTGTCCTATCCTGTGCCATCCTTATCATTTCTGACATGCTTGAGCCCATTGCTACAGTCACTGTGTCAATCCATCTGGTTGAGGGTCTTCCTCTCTTTCTCTGACCCACCATGTTTCCAAACATGATGCCCTTCTCCAAGGAATAGCATCTCCTAGCAACATGCCCAAAGTCTGTGAGATGAAGCTTTATCACCTTTGCCTCCTAGGAACACTCTGGCTGCACCTTCTTCAAGGCATATCTTGGCATTCCATGGGGTGTTCAGTACTCTTCTTCAACAGTACAACTCAAAGGCATCAGTTCTCCTGACATCCTTATTCATTGCCCAGCTCTTAGCACCATAATTGAAAATACCATAACCTGAATCAATGGCACCTTAGTCCTCAAATTGACATCCTTGTTCCTCAGTCCTGTGGAGATGTCCCTAACTACAGGCTTGCCCAGTGAAGTGCATCTCCTGAGCTCCTGCCTGCTGGTCCCAAGAGTGTTTATTTGTAGGATAAAATAGTTTGGAGGTCTGGTGCCACAGTTTATAGGATGCTGTACTGCTGACCAAGGGGTGAGCATCTTTGGTGGTTCTAGTCCATCACTGGCTGTGCAGAATAAGGGTGGGCAGTCTCTCTCCACTGAGATTTACAGCCTCGGAAACTTAATGGTGGATCACCATGAGTCCAAATCGACGGCACTAAGTATAATAAAAGGAACCTGACAAATTGTCAGTATTCTGGTGAAGTGTTGGGACTCCCCACATGTAGGTTTAGGGAGATTTAGTGGTCTAGTGGGTAAGGAGTTCTACTCCAACCAAAAAAAAACAGGCGGTTTGAATCCTTCAGTTTGAGAAAGAAAGATGAGTGATTTCCTCCTTTACTATTTACAACCTTTGCAAACCCATTGGAGGGTCAGCTATGAGTCGGTTCTCACTTGATGACAATGAGTGGAGTTGAGTTTTACATGGCTTTGGTGCCAGCCTGACCTGGACCCTCTCTTTCTCTGCACAGTTACACCAGGAGGCCAGAGCCGCCCTGACACAGGCTTCCACGTCTGTCCAGGCCGCCACAGTGACCGTCATGGGAGCCAGGACTCTGCTGGCTGACCTGGAAGGTATGTGTGTGACTCTGCTCACAGGTGTCCGTGACAGTCACCCAGTCAGCTCTCATCTTAACCAGGGCAGGCATGGCTGCAGGAGACAGAAGTCCATTCCCCACACCTCTCAGGATCTCGGCTCATCTCTTTCCACCTCACCTACCACTCACCTGAGGGCTTCCCAGGTGACCCTTCCACTAAACTCCTCTGTCATCCGATTGCAGTGCAAAATCCCTTAGGACAAGATGTGAAGAGAATACAAAGCTGTTAGCTGTCCATCCCTGGTCCATTTCACTCAGTTCTGCTGTGATTCACAAGATGTCACCACGTGGAGCCTAGATTGCTTTTTAACAGACCCATAGCTGACCCTCCAGCAGGTTTTCAGAGGCAGTTAATTGCATGGTGGCCTTGAACTGTGTGCCTTCAGGATTGCAGCACAGCTTCTTACCACTAGGCCACCGGAACTCCCTAAGTTAACTGGTAAAAATCTACCAGTCCCAATCTAGTCCCCAGTTGGTTAAAAGGAATGAAAGGGTCTCAATTTTGACAGCAGGTATGGACCGATTCCAGTTCAAGTCTACTTGGAACTTTGAGAAAAATGAGACTGAGTGCCCCATTTTACAGATCAGTAGACTGAGGAAAGAAATTCATGGACATCCATGTATTAGAACTGAGTCAGAAGCAGAAACCAGCCAATTCAACATTTTTTGGTCTCTTATCCCTCTTGTAATTGATTTCTAAGAAACTTTCTTTTTTCCAAAGAGAAGTCTCTCTTCTTTATTTTGGGCTTTGTACCAAAAGGCTGGGTAAGGCAGGCGTCAACCTGAGCCCTAGATGAGGACTCTGTTGTCTTGAATCTGCAATGTCCCCCACCCACTATCCCCTCACCACCACCAATCAGTGATACAGATTCACCCTAGACCTAGACCTCAGTAGTAGGTGAGCTGGTCAGCATTTCCTTCTCCCCATTTCTTTGGTGGCCTGAAGCCTGAGTCACCCACTGGGTAGGGGGCTTCTGGTGGAAGAGGTGTGGGCTTGAGCTTTTGCCTCTCAAGAATTGTGCTTAGGAACATGGCATATTATGATACATATTGGGATTTTGTAGCATTAGACTTATTTAGTTCATTGCCATTCAGTGGATTTCAACTTCAAGAGACTCACCCCACGTGCACAGAGTAGAACTTCTCCACAGGGTTTTCAAGGAGTAACCGTTCGGAAACAGACCACCTGGTCTGTTTCCAGAGGTGCCCTTGGGTGGAGCCTACCTCTTTGCATCAAGGAGCCCTGGTGACACAACAGTTAAGCACTATGTTGTTGTTATGTGCCATCAAATCACCTGTGTCTCATAGTGACAACAGCCTGAACCCTGCTCTATCTTGAGTCAACCTCATTGTCTCCAACATGCCTTCCCCCATTACCCTAGTCACTGAGTGAATCAATGTCATTCAGGGGCTTCCTCTCTGGTACTGTTACCTTCACTCTCCCAAGCATGATGTCCCTCTCCAAGGACTCATCCTTCCCTGCAACTGCATAAAATAAGTCAGACAAAGCTTTAAAATCCTTTCCTCTAGGGATCAGCCTGGTTTCACCCTTTCTAAAATGGACCTGTTTGTTCTATTAGTAGTCCATAGTATATGCAATACTCTTCTCCAACACCACCACTCAAAGACATCAGTTCTTTTTCTATCATCCTTAGTCATTGACCAACGCTCTGATGGATAGCAAGTAATTGCAAAGACTATGGCCTGGATCAGATGCACCTTAGTCTCTAGACTGACATCATTGCTCTTCAGTACTATGGAGAGGTCCCTGACAGCAGACTTTCCCAATCCAATTAGTCTTTGATTTCCTGGATGCTGGTACCAAGAGTGTTGATTGTGGAGCCAAGCAAACTGAAGCTGTTAACAATCTTAATCTCTTTACTGTCTATTGGCTGCTAGCAGAGAAGCTAGTAGTTTGAATCCAGCCTTTGAGAGACAGGCCTAGAGATCTACTTCTGTAAAGACGACAGCCTAGGAAATCAACTCAAAGACCACTTGGATGTCACACTGGCATTCGAGTCATAAAGGCCCATAAAGGCATCTCTGCAACTCCATACTGGGCTTGAAGCTCACCTCCTTCAGTTTGCCTACCTCCAGTGACGGGGTCCTCACTACCTCACACACTATCCCCTTTTCATTGGTGAATGGTTCAAAGAATTAGAAAGTTCTTACAAGTTTAGAAGGAAAAGTTGCCACCCTGGTGCTGGACAGTAACCCACTCAAGGATTAGATTAGTCTTGAACCTCTAGCCTTAGGTTCTTTTTTCCATTCCCATACATTTCAGAGATACTTCCATTTAACACCAGTTAGCCTGTGCTTAGTTCACATTCAGGGTAAAAGGAATGGAGGGATGCCTTTCCCAGGATACAGCCTTGGGTCTCCTAACCAAGGGAGCTGTGCTCAGATAAGTTTAGAAAACGCTGCACCCTGAGACCTCATAGTACACACGTTAGAATATGAAACACTCTAGAAGTCTTGCAATAAAGAAACCTGGTGAGTTTTATTTAAATGTAATTTATATTTTTCTTTAAGGTTCATTAACATTCTATAGAAAGAGTTCCACAGAACATCCTTTAAGAAATACTAATTTTGTGTATAAACATTAAAACAGATCTGATTTTTTAAAAATTCTTTTCAAAGAATAATTAGATGTCATGCCCCAAAAGATCAGAAAGTTTGATTCTTCTCAAAATTTCATTTTGTCCACTATACTCAGTATTCTTTATGATAAATTTCCCTTATAATTTGCTGCAAGGAGAAAGTAACTGTTTCTTTATTGCTTATTAGATAAAGAAGCCTATGTGAATGGTAGCATTTCTCTTTTCATCTTGGTTGCTGGGGAGCTCAGAGGTAACTAGTGTATTTGATTCCTGAAGAGATCCATATTTGTTGACCAGTCAGAGTGAGGAAATTATCAAACAATATCATTAATATCACATGCAAGCAAGATTCTGCTGAAAATTACCCAGAAATGACTGGAACAGCACATCAACAGAGAACTGCCAGATGTGCAGGTTGGTTTAGAAGAAGAGGCTATGATACTAAGGATATTACAACTAATGTTAGATGGATCTTATCTAAAAGTAGGGAGTACCAGAAGAATATCTGGGTTTCATTGACTATGCAAAGGCATTTCACTGTGTGGATCTCAGCAAACTGTGACTAACTCTGAGAAGAATGGGAATCCCAGAACACTTGATTATGCTTATGCAAAATCTATACTTGGACCAAGAGGCAGTTATCAGAAGAGAGCAAAGAAACACTGCATAGTTCAAAATTAACACGAGTGTACGCCTATCTCCATACATTTTCAATCTATATACAGAACAGATTATCCAGGAGGCTGGGCTCTGTGAAGAAGAATGTGGCATCAGGATTGGAGGAAGACTCATCAACAACCTGCATTATGCAGTTGAGACAACCTTGCTTGCTGAAACTGAGGAGGACCTGAAGCGATTACTGTAGAAGGTCAAGGACTGCAGCCTTCAATATGGATTGAAGCTCAACATCAAGAAAACAAAGATTCTCACCACTGGGCCAATTGGCAACATCATGATAGATGGTGAAGAGATTGAGATTATTAATAGCTTCAATTTACTTGGTACCATAATCAACACTCTTGACACCTGCAGCCAGGAAATCAAAAGATGAATTGCATTGGGAAAGTCTGCTGTGAAGGACCTTTTCAGAGTACTGAAGAGCAATAATGTCATTCTGGAGACAAAGGTATGCCTGATCAAGGCCATAGTCTTCACAAGTACTTGCTATGCGTCAGAAAGCTGAACAATAACTAAGGATGATAGAAGGAAAATTTATGTCTTTGCATTGTGGTGCTGGAGAAGAGTATCCCATATACCATGGACTGCTACAAAAACATACAAGTCCATCCTGGAGAGGGTGAAACGAGGGTGCTCCTTGGAGGCAAGGATTCTGATGCTTCATCTGATGTTCTTTGAGCATGTTTCAAGGAGTGACCAGTCCTTGGAGAGGGACATCATGTTTGGAAGGGTGGAGGGACAGCACAGGAGGGGACAACCCTCGATGAGATGGATTGATTCAGTGACTGGGGTAAGGGGAATAGGTGTGTCAGAGACACTGAGGTTGGCACAGGATAGAGCAGGTTTAGAGCTGTTGTAGTAGGGTTGCTATGAGTCACAAGAGACTTGACAGCACATAACTACAACAACAATGTTACCATTTTAAATTTCTGGCACTTGGCACCTTTTTCCTCTTCCTTTCCTCATTCAGTTATATATGGCTCTGCATTTTAAAGACCCAGTTACTAATTTATCTGTCATTAGAAGGTGCTTCAAAGCCTTTTAAAAATAAATAGAGCCAGGAGATATGGGGAAGAGCATGGGAAAAGAGTGGATATATAATGAACATCGCAGTAGAACAGATGAGGAGAAGAACTGTCTGAAAGAAATATAAGACAGGCGTTGTGTGTATGACAGCAGTCTGGAACAAGGGGTGCATTGTGGGATGGACTGGGTGAAGGGAGAGGAAGAGAATGTGCAACAATGAATAAAAAAGAAAAATAAAAATAGGTGGCATATGAAAATAAACAATACATGGATTAATGCTGCAGCTTCTTATACCTACCTCTGGCCCAGGTATTGTTGTTGTGAACAATCTAGTCAGAACTGACCCATAGTTGACCCTCTAGTGAGTTTTCAGAAAGAGTAAATCACACAGGAGGAGATTGTCCATCTCCCCACAAAGCAGCTGGTGGATTCGAACTGAGTGCCTTTGGGACTGCAGCACAGTTTCTTACCACTAGGTCACCAGATCTGCTGTTACCACTATATTATTTTAATAAGTATCACAGTCAACACTTGGCACAAGCAGTCAGGAAATCAAAAGACAAATTGTATTAGGAAGATATATTGTCAGGGACCTCTCCAGAGTGCTAGAGAGCAAAGATGTCAGTCTAGAGACTATGTGTGCCTGATCCAGCCTATGATCTTTGTAATTACTTGCTATGAGTCAGAGAGCTGGATAATGGCCAAGGATGACAGAAGAATTGATGCCTTTGAGTTGTGGTGTTGGAGAAGAGTGTTGAACATACCGTGGACTGCCAAGAGAATGAACAGGTCAATTCTAGAGAGGTTGAAACCAAGCTGCTCCTTGGAGACAAGAATTTTTATACATCTCACATCCTTTGGGTGTGGAGGGACAGTGCAGGAGAGGAAGAGTTTGGATGAAATATATTCACACAATAACTGGGGTGATAAGACAGTGAGATTGGCTTAGAATAGAGCAGAACTCAGAGATCTTGTGCATAGGATCACTATGAGTTGTAGTCGACTCAACAGCACATAACAACAACAACATCATAGTAAAAATACAAATCCGTAAACTCATGGGGCTTTATATCTCACTTGTTGTTTCTTTCTTTCCTATAATATCCTGAGAGTACACACAGATCTTGGGCACTTTTTTTATTATACTTTTGTTTGGTTGGTTTTTATTTACATTGTGTTTCATACAATCATTCCCATCTATTGTGTCTTTATTCTTCACTCACATTGTCTGAGGGGCTTGGACTGAACAGCATCTGCCAGTGATTCCCTGGCAGGCTCTTGAGGGAGGCATGAGCCCAGCTCTCCTGCCAAAACCTTGACTGGACTTTCAGGAATGAAGCTGCTGTTTCCTGGGCCCAAGGACCAGGCCGCCTTGAGAAGGAAGGCAGATGTCATCCGGGACAGGCTCCTTGAAGACACAAAGAAGAAAACCAAGCAAGCAGAGAGGATGCTAGGAAACGCAGCATCTGTGTCTGCCAGTGCCAAGAAGAAGAGCAAAGAAGCAGAGCTGCTGGCTAAGGGCAATGCCAAGGTCAGGTCCACACACGTGGCAGAGGCAGCTTCCCTACTCCTGGGCCTATGGGAGTTGCTCTCTCACGTAACAGCTACCCCTTGTAAATCAAGAATTGCACCTGCAGATATATCTCCTTTCCTGTATCTGATGCAGAATATTTCACATTTATAAGTGCTTAGGAGGTCCCAGAGATCAAGGGATTTCCCGTGGGTGACCTGATTGATTCCTCATGAAATTTATTCTTGTTGCCCCAAGCTACAGGTAAGGAGAATGAAGTCCAAAACACTCTGTAACTTTAGTCACCTGACCAAAGTCTTTGTACCTCAATGTGTGTGGCTGGATTACCTAAATCTCTAGGCTTTTCTTTTTAAATTGGGGCCATTTTAAAATTAATCTATGTCTCCTAGTGCTGTTACTGCCTTTGTAGCTCAGGACAGATGTTCACAGTTGTCTAGAGGAAGTGCTGTATTTGAAGCAAGAGTCTTATTTCTGGTCCTGACACTGGAACCTTGGCTGGCTCCTCCTCTTTTCTGTGTATCTGTTTCCTCACCTTTGAAATAATTCCGATTTCTCCTCTGGGGATAGATGAGCAGTATCTGGGAATTGACACAGTGCCCTATACCTAGTGAATGAACGGATGATGTAATGCCCAGAGCAGATGCCTGCTTGGGGGGATTATTATCACAAGAGCTCTTCGCCTCGCCTCACCTTCTCTCCCTGCTGCTGATGCCCACCCTGTAGCTTGCCAAGGTTTTGCTGAGGAAAGAGAAGCAGGAACAGCGCCGTGCCAGCCAGCTTGCCAGCCAGACGAGGGTGACACTCCGCCTGGCCTCCCAGCAGACCCTGGCCTCTGGAGCACGTCTGCAGGAGCTGGAGGAAGCCAAGCGGGTATGTTTGCTAAGGATCCAAACCTGTTTACTCCTGCCTCACAGCCAGTAACAGCCACTCATCCATTCCCCGCTCTTCCTGGAAGGTGGGCGCAGGGCTGAGTGAGGTGGAGCGACAGATCCGGGAGTCGCGCATCTCCCTGGAGACAGACATCAAGACTTTGTCAGAGCTGCTCACCAAGCTGGGTAAGGAGTCCTCAGTGTTGAGTCCAGAACCCATTGGCCCCTGGGGCTACTTATGAGAGCTTTGAGTGAGGCCCCAGGGCTGGGAAAGACTTCCTCATGTCCTTATTTCTGTGATTTCCCATCCCCTCCCTGTGGTCACTCACAAGCATCCATTTCTGTCCCAGGTTGTCTGTGTGAGGTAGGGTTGACATGCAGAAGTGAGTTTACTTTGAATAACTCTCTGTGTCCAGAGGGTTCTGTCTGGTAATGGGGAGGGGCTCACACACAGCAAACCACCCCATACAAGAGCAGTGCTGTGTTCAGTGAGTAGACTGACCCTGGGTGAGTAACAGTCTGAAAAAAAAGAGAATGTTGAAGACACAGTGTGGTATCAGGGATCCGGTGCTGGCTTTGGAATCGGGCAGACTGGGACTCAAGGCTAGCTCCGTTTCTTCCTGCCTGGGGGAGCTCAATCAAGCTGTTCTACCTCTCTGAACCTCAGTCTCCTCATCTATTAAATAGGAGTAACATTAGGGGGGATGTAGAAAGTGCCAATTACAGTACTTGTTATGGGGTAGGATATCTGGTTATAAAATTATTCTGATGGAGGAGGTACAACTCAAGATAGACCTTCACAAAGAGATATTTGAGAAGAAGGGATAAAGCCAGCTAAGGCATGAAGGCCCTGGTGTGTGTGTGTGTGTGTGTGTGTGTGTGTGTGTGTGTGTGTGTGTTAGGACAACAGCTGGGTTGAAGGGAAACACGTACACACTCAATTGTCATTATTTTTTTATTATTATTATTTTGTGTGCGTGTACCATCAAATCAGGCCTCCTTCCCCGGCAGAACATCTGGTGGATTTGAACCGTGTTCCTCTGAGATTGCAGTGCAGCTTCTTGCCACTAGGCCACCAGAGCTCCCCTAATTGTCATTATTTTTAAGAAGAGGAACGATCACCATTTTCTGTATTTTGTCTGGGCAGCAGGCCCACACCTGCGCTGTTCACACACATGACTTAGGCCTCTCAAGATCTTTTGCGGGGAGTGGGATTTACCCAGGCCCAGTAGATCCTCAACTTCCCTCTGTCTTTTATTCCTTTTAATCTTAAAACATCACACGGTCATTATAGCGCAGTTTCTGCAGTCAGGAGTGTAGATGTGGACTAGCTGGGTCCTTTCCTTAGGGCCTCACAAGGCTGAAGTTCAGGTTATGACCTGGGCTGTGGTCTCAGCAGAGACTCAACTGGAAAAAAAAACTGCTTCTCAGCTCTCTTGGGCTCTTGGCAAAATTCTTCGCTTTGTGATCATCTGGCTGAGTCCTTGTTTTCTTGCAGCCTAACAGCTAGGGAGGACCTCTGATGGCAGGATTGTTAAAGCATTTGGATGCTAACCAAAAGGTTCACTGTTCAAACCCACCAGCCACTCCACAGAAGAAAGATGTGGCACTATGCTTCTGTAAAGGGCTTATAGACGTGGAGACCCTCTGAGGTAGTTCTACCCTGTCCTATTGGGTTACTGTGAGTCAGAATTGAAGACAACAGTGGGTTTGGGGTTCTTTTTCTTTTTTTCTTCAATTATATATCAGCTAGGGTCTCAATTAGTTCCTGGAGGCTACCTGCAAGCCTGGCTGTGTAACCCTCTTATATGACATCTTCTAAAAGCAAGCAAAGCAGTTTCTAATATAACCTAATCAAGGGAGTAGCCTTCTGCTACATTGTCTTGGTTAGAAGACATTAACTCTAGTGGCTTAGTGGTAAGGAGCTGCACTGCAATCTCAGAGATACACAGTTCAAATCTACCAGCTTCTCCAAGGGAAAAGGATAAGCAGTCTCCTCTTGTGTGATTAGCTGCCTCTGAAATCCCACTGGAAAGCCACCTACGATTTAGTTCCAACTCAATGGGATAACAGTAACACTCAAGGAAAAGGAAGTTCTTGTGGCCTAATGGGTAAGAAGTTGTGCTGCCAACCAAAAGGCACACAGTTCAAATCCACCAGCTGCTTCTAGGGAGGAAGATAATAAAATTCTTCTGTGTGACTTACAGCCTTTGAAACCCCATTGGAGGGTCGTCTATCAGGCAGTTTCTACTGGAGGGCAAACAACAACAGCAGCAACTAGAGGGAAAGGCAGCAGAGTGTGTAGCGAGCGATGAGTTGTGTTGCTGACCCTAAGGCTGTGCGTCTCCAGAGGACTGACTCCACCAGCGGCTGTGTGGCTGGAAGCTGAGCAGGCCTCCCCTTCCTACCGAGGTTGATGGCCTCGGAAACCTGATACAGGGTCACGAGGAGCAGAACCAACTCCTCCCTAGTGGGTTGACTCAAGGAGAAGGAATTGTCCAAAGGATGGGTCCCCCAGGGATGTCTGCCACAAATGTTTTTGTTGTGTTTTGCTGTTATGATTTGGAATCGACACATAGCTGACCCTCCAGCAGGTTTTCAGAGGCTGTAAATTGCATGGGACAGACTGTCAATCTTTCGCCTGCAGAGCAGTTAGTGAATTTGAACTGCCTGGCTTTGGGTTGGCAGCGCAACTCCATACCACAAGGACACCATATTGTTGTTATGTGCCCTCGACTTGGTACTGAATCATAGCTGACCCTCCAGCAGGTTTTCTGAGGCTGTAAATCACACAGGGGAGATTGCTCATCCTTCTGCAGAGCAGCTGGTGGACGGGCATAACAAAAGCCTAATAGCTCTCTAATCTATGGTGACACTCATGCTTGTCAGCTTGAAACTGTGCTCTGAGTTGTTGTTGTTGTTATTGTCAGGTGCCAACGTGTCCGCTGTGACTGGCAGTGACTCTGTGTACAACAGATCAAGCCCTGCCTGGTCCTCTGCTACTCTCACCATCTCTGCTGTGCTTCGGGCCATTGTCACAGTCATTATGTTGGGTCCTCACTGATCATCTTCATCTCTTCCACTGACCCTCTATTTTCCTAAGCATAATGTCCTTCTCCAAGTACTGCCCCCTCCAGATAACATGCCCAGAGTATGTGGGACAGAGTCTTGCCATCCTTGCTTCTAAGAAGCACCTTGGCTGTACTTTAGAATGTGTTTGTGCTTCTGATCATCCACGGTGTTTTTTTTATATTCTTTACCAATACGACAATTCAAAGGCAAATGTTCTTCTTCAGTCTTCCTTATTCAGTGCCCAACTTTCACATTCATATAAGGAGAATGAAAAGAAAGGTAGTGGGCTGCTGACTGAAAGTTTAGTGATTCGAATCTTGGGAGATAGATTGACAGTCTCCTCCCTAAAGACTTAGAGCCTAGGAAACCCGATGAAGGGTCACTATGGGTCCCATTAACACATCTGTGGGCCATAACTCACCACAGTCCAGAGCTGTGCTCCATCGAGTTAGTTATTGGGTGAAAAACACGTATGCCAAACCTGGCTCCCATCCCAGAGCCTTGGGGTCCTGGCAAGTCCCATGTGGTTAGAGGCTTGGGACTTTCGCTCCCCACAGCTTGGCTGAGTTACTTTTTTGACGATAGTCACATTTCGTGACAAGGTGATGAGAGGCAAGTGGGGGATGCAGTCTGTAGAGCCTAGGCCTCTACTCTCACCACAATCCCCTCTGCTTTCACTTGACCATTGCCTCTGCTCCCACCCACCCTGTCTCTGCTCCCAGACACCATCACTCTATTCCCGCTTGCCATCATCTTTGCTTCCACCTCCCATCATCTCCCCTCCCATTATCACCATCTCTGCTCCCACCCACCATCCCTTCTACTCCTCCTTCTATCACCTCTACTCGCTCTCTCCTCTCCTCTGCTTCCCCCACTATCACCTCTGTTCCCACCTGCCATCATCTCTGCTACCCCTACCTCTGCCTTCACCTACCATAGCTTTCACTCCCATCCACCATCACCTCTACTCCTGTCGTCATCATCATCACCTCTGCTCCGTGGCCACTACTACTAAGTTCCGGTATGAACTCCAGAGGACCTCTTGGATCCCTAATAGATGGTAATAAGGCCAGGACTAGGACCCTGCTGCCCGGCTGTCAGGCCTGTGGTTCTTCCTGCTCCATCTGCTGCCAGGCCCTCATCCCAAAGCCAACATCTCTGAGATGAGGACCTTTCTGCTCGGTCAGTGTCCCTTACATCTCAGTGCACAAGTCAGAATATAAGTGTGGCTATTGGTAAATTGATGCAGCAGTTTCAAGCCAGTAGAAATTATGGGATTTTTCATTCACAACTTGATGAATGAGCAGACTAGATTTCTATAAGGACTTTCTCAAGGCTGCTATTTTTGACAGCAATGATAATGACAAAAATGAACAGTGGCTCAGTGCCACCCAGGGGGAGCACTTCAGAGTCTGAGTATGAGCTTGGGGACTGGCCTCAGCCCATCACCATCATGCCTCATGGTCCCCACCTTTTCTAGAAGGCTTTGGGCACTTGGGGTCCTAGAAGTCTGAACTGGGAATAGTCTTGGGGCTAAGTGGGCTCCAGGTCCCAAAGGGGGTCTGTGCCTTGCTGAGACTTGCCCCTCTGCAGGGTCACTGGACACCCACCGAGCACCAGCCAAGGCTCTGAATGAGACCCAGCGAGTACTAGAGCACTTGAAGCGTCAACTGGGCTCCCCAGGGGCCCTGCAGGAGAAACTGAGGCTGCTGGAGCAAGAGTCCAAGCAGCAGGAGCAACAGATCCAGGACTTTGAGAGTGACCTTGCTGAGATCCGTGCGGACAAGCAGAACTTGGAGGCCATCCTGCACAGCTTGCCTGAGAGCTGTGCCAGCTGGCAGTGACAACCACCAGACCTCACCTGTCCCATTATATGCACTCGTCTTGGGGCTTGCATATCTCCCACAGCTGCACTCAGAGGCACACCTCCCAGGGCCTGCTGCCTCCTGTCCTCTGTGTGTATACCTTGTGTCTGCTGAAGTCTGTGCCCACAACACCACCCTGCCAGCATGTGCCCACCCATAGCAGACTGCATATGCACCCACAATCCCCAGGCAGCCACGGGTGCACACCCCCACCCAGCATCAGTGACACACACCTGCACATGTACACTGTATGTGCATGCCTATGTGTATGACGCACATATGCATAAAGGCTTATCCATGCAGACACACACAGTACAATCAATACATAAGTATTTATTGGGAGTCAGCTGCATACTGTCCACGCTCTGGATGTGGCTGAGGTATGCAGGTTAGCTTAAATGCCCTGGGACTCCAATGTATTCATTCTTATTTCACAAGCAGGGTTCCTTGCAGGGTTGGTGTTTGGCAGTGGAAGAAGAACACCTACAGAGATCAAGGGTGGGTCCAGCAAGAGCTAGAGCCCCAAGTCCCAGGGCAACCTGTCCAGTCCTGCTGTTAACACCTTCCCCTGGACCCCACCCCATCCCATCACTCACTTAGCATGTGCAACAGCTCTGCATAGACTGGGGACCTGACAGGCTAAGCTGCTCCTGGGTTTATCAGCAGTGGACTCTAAGCCCAAGCATTCCTGAGACTGTGGCACCTTCTGTGCTGGCCAGGAGCAAAGCCCCCTCAGCAGGGAGCATTGATTTACCAGCTTCCTTGCTCTCAGGACTCTGACACTGGCTGAGGCTCACTGAAGGAACTGCCTGCTCTGGGCCTTTCAAAGGGTCAGGACAGTTGGGGAGGGGGGGCGGCTCTGAGGAACTCTAATAGGTTTCCAGGACCCTCCCTTTTGGGACACTTTTTGGCTTTGAACTGAGTGGTACTTCCTGAACCATCTGCCGCAAGGGAGCTGATGCCAGGAGTGGGAGTCATGGCTGGTATTCTGGTCTGTCCAGCTCATGGTGGCCAGTCACACAACCACTTCTGCCTAAGGAATCCTGCTGTTTCCCCCTGCCACTTCCTCCTTCCCTTCCCTGGGCCATTTCCTAACACTCACCAGGTCAGTAGGTCTCCAGGCTGGGAGGATGGCCTCTCAGTGGCCCCGCCTACTCCCACAGCTGGACCTACTCCATTCTCCCAAGCGCATCTGGGACTGGAGGGGACAGGTGGTTTAGTGTGGAAATAAAAGACCTTTTGCCAAGCTAGTGTATGTCTTTGACTTTAATTCCCTGTGCTAGTCGGGGGTCTTGGCAGTGGCTGTGGACACGCTGCCCTGGTATAGACTTTCACCCCACCCACATGAAGCTGGGGCAGCGTCCACACAAGAGCACACCCCCAGTGTGAGCATGTACCTGGCCCTAGGGAGTGATGGGGAGGGGGGTGTTTCAGCATTCTTTGTGGTTCACACACACACACACACACACACACACACACACCCAGCCTCTCTTCCCACCAGGGGACTTTGACGGGTCCTGGACTTTCCATAGTACTCTCCTTGCTGCTCTGAGGGCTCATCAGCTAAAATCTTGGGGCCAGGAGAGTTTGGGGCAGGGATGGTGGTAGGATAGGCCTCCTGCCTATCTCCAGCTCAGGCTGGAGATGCTGAGATAGGAAATGATGAACTCAACCAGGGTGAGGGACAAGGGGAGAGACCCGTGAGGAAAGAGGGAGGACCTCACGGAAGAGGAGGGGGTGGAGAGCTTAGGGCCAGGGCTCTTGAAGGGTGGAGAGACCAAGGAAGGGAACATTTCAGGCAAGAGGGTGAGGGCTAGGCCTGCTGTGGTGTCACACTAAGAACCCTGGGCGGGAGCAGGGAGGCACAAAGACCAAACCCCTCCCATGTCAGCATTAGCAAGAAGAGTTCACTGGGAGGACAGGGAGGGTCTTCTGGAAGCCTGGGGCAGAAAGGCTGCCAGGCCTCCTCAGAGGCTGTCCAGACTGTGGCTGCAGGGGACAGGCGCCTCCCTCTCCTCCCCCTTCTCCGCCCCTTGGTCTCTGCCTCTGAATCCTCATTTCTGTGCAGAAGAGTTTTCTTTGCCTTTCCTGTGCTTTATGGAAGAAGACCACTGACTCCCCTCCACTGTAAATGGCCTGAGCAGGTTTGCATGGCTGCAGTCCACGTGCTTGGCAGAGACAAGCTGGAAGCAGCACACTGATTCCAACTTCCACTTGATCCCTTGGTTCAGATCCACCCTTCTCATTCGGAACAAAGTGGATCTCGTCCCTGTGGAATCCAGGAGCCCTGATCCCACAGTAGTTAAATGCTGTGAAGTGAAAGGTCAGCAGTTCGAATCTACCATTCACCTCACAGGAGAAGGACATGGTAATCTGCTTCCTCAGAGATTTACAGCCTTATAAAAATCCACGTGACAGCTTCTACTGTGTCCTATAAGATGTCTACAAGAATCAACTAGAAGACAGTGGATGGAGGTTGGCTCGTTTTTATTTGGGGATCCCGCACCACCTGGTCAGAAATGGGGTGTACTCTCCTCACCTGGATCAGAGAGAAGACTCGAAGAACCTGAAAAAGCAGACGGGGGCAGGGTTTGTTGACATGGTGGACAGTGTTGACCTGGGGAGTAACTTGGTATATTAGGGGGGTGGGGGCAAGGCCAGGGCGCGAGTTCCTCTACAGTGAGTCTGATAATTGGTATTTGGTCTGGGCGGTGCTTGAGGACATAAGGATTCTTCGAAAACCTGAGGGGCAGGATCTGAGGGTCCTCACCCAGCTTCTCAGCTGACAGGAATGCCCAGCATTCTGATGTCTGCTCTTGGCATCTGCATCAGTCCCAGGGCTCAGCTCAGCTCAGTACCAGCCTTGCTGGTGGGAGGAAAATAGGTTTCCTCTCCGTTCCACGGTGATGTATCTCACGCCTGACATCTCATACGTGGCATGCCTGACATCTGGTGATCACGCCCACCCAAGCAGAGCCTCTCTCCAGGCCCAGAGGTGGGGGCGCTACAGGGTGGAGTGTGATGGCTGCTGAACATCTGAGTAGCCAACTCAGCCAAGCAGTGGAAGGTGGGCAGCCCTTGAGCTGGCTGGCGCTAACCAGCCCAGCTGAACTTTTATATGTCAGCTGCTTCTTTGACCTACAGATTGGCTTCCACCACCAC